GCTACCGGATATAGGTTCGGGCAAGCCTTCTATTGAAGGTCGTGAGACCCCGACCGTAGTTATTAAGTCGTTTATAGAGGACGTGGCCGAGGACGAGGAAATAGATTGTAGGTCTAAGCAAGGGTATATACCTGGTTATAGTTGTAGAGACTTCTCGCCGTTAATATGTATAGCAAGTTCGAGGTTATACTTGCCTTGAAGTGTAGTAGGGTAAGTATGAGACTAGCCTGGATATATGCTTATACTAATACGCGTAGGTTAATAGGAGGCTTACGAATAGCGACTTTAAAAGGCGCTTCCTTAAAGTAGCTGTACCCTCTAATACTTATAAGGCCGCCGGTGTGAAGAGGAGTATACCTATGTATCCGTTTTAGTCTATTAGTATACTAACGGATGTATAGACTGCAAATAGGGTAGCTATACGTGTGAGAATATAAAGGCATAGGTACTGTAATCGGTACATATATCTAGGGGTATAGATATGATTATGGTAGGCCCCCCCCCCCCCCCCCCCCCACACACACTTCACCCGATACGCACTTCCAAAATGGGCTACGCTGCAGGTTTCGATATAGTTCCACGTCTCACCGATATCGAGGAAGACAAAGCCGCCTGGGAAAAATTCCTGGCCAAGATCCAGGAAGAATTCGCGGGAGACGCTCAAGTCGTTTCGAAGGTTGGATACTACAAATTCGTCGTGGGCGAATGCCCACGCCTGCCGCGTGATGGCACCAAGTTCATGAGGTTCAGCTCCAAGATCAGTGGCAGCCTCACCACAGTTGCCGAGCCATACATCCGCCAAGTGACTGAGATCGCTCGGAAGATCTTCAAGGTTGGTCTTGTAGGCAGCTTGATCGTAGCCAGCGACTAACGCGAATCGTAGGACAGAGTGAAGTTTTGGAACGAGCTCTGCGACGTGGACTCAGAGTACAAGATCAGCGACATCATCGACTCTCAACAGGAGTACGGGTCTGGTGAGGAGGCACCTTAGAGTAACAATGATCTCTGGAACACCATGCATGAATTTGCCGGCCCGACGTTGACACGCGATGAGTATGCCAACCAGAGCTTGCGCGGCAACGTGGAGGATGAGGCGGACCAGGACGAGGACGAGGACGAGGACGAGAGAGGCTGGCAGAAGGATGAGCGAGATCATGAAGACGATGACGGTGGTTCCAAGGATTTGACAGCTTGCGACAAGGAGTGTGGCTATTGCGGGCGCTGCATGTATTGAGGATCTGAGGGCCTAGTTAAGTCACCAGGTGAAGTGTTTAGCGACCGCTCCGTTTTCAATGCTTGTGAAGGCTTAATGAGAGCTCTTCGTTCATGCGTCGGCTCCGCAACACCTGCTTAGTACTGTGGGCGAAAATTCTGAGCGGAGAGGCGCCATGCAAAGATGTGCATAGCCATAGAATCTGAGGCGGAGGCTTGACACTGCAGCACACACATTTTAGCACATTCGATACGCTTGATAGGCTCACCACAGCTTGAAAATATGATCTGCAGCAAGTGTGAAATCTGTTTGCGGTTTTAATGTATCTTCAGCTTCGCTCTTTTTGCATACCCAAAGGCTATGGTACAAACGCCGAAGGATCATGCGTGGCGCCGATCGAGGCCGATATCAAAACAAGATGCTGGGGTTGGTATCTACAAGTTCTTGATAATTGCGTCAGCGTACTCGGCAGTCTTTGCCTTGCCGCCCAAGTCTCCAGTCAGTGCCTATGAAATGTTAGTACAACGCTCACGCGAAATCTATCGAATTTTATCTCCACTCACCTTTCCTTCGGACAAAGTCTTGAAAATGGCGTTCTGTATTCTGTCGGCCTCTTGTGTCAGGCCCATATGTTGCAACATCATAATAGAAGACAAAAGGAGGGCAGTTGGGTTAGCCAAGCCCTTGCCAGCAATATCTGGAGCGGAGCCGTGGACAGCCTCGAAGATGGAGCACTCGTCACCAATGTTTCCAGATGGGGTCAGACCGAGACCACCGATCAAACCAGCGCACATATCGGAAAGAATGTCTCCGTAAAGGTTTGGCATGACCAGAACCTTGTCGTTATATGGGACTGGGTCTGTGACCATCTTCAAGCAGGTGTTGTCGAGCATCTCGGCATCGAACTCAATATTAGGGTACTCCTTTGCAATTTCTCGGGCGAGGTTCAAGAAGAGGCCGTCTGACATCTTCATGATGGTGGCCTTGTGTACAACGCGGACCTTCTTTCGGCCGATGTCCTGTGCATGTTGGAATGCGAATCGCAGCACTCTCTCCGAGGCCTCTTTTGTGATAAGCTTGATGGATTGCACGACCCCGTCCACTACCACGTGCTCAATTCCAGAGTATTCTCCCTCGGTGTTCTCGCGGATGAGTACTGTGTCTACATTATCGTATGGGGTCTTGTATCCTGCAATGCTCTTGCAAGGTCTCAAGTTGGCAAAGAGGTTGAATGTTCTTCGGAGGGTGAGGTTGAGCGAGACGTGACCCTTGCCAATGGGTGTTGCGAGGGGCCCTTTGAGGGCGACGTAGTTGCGTGTCACTGAGTCAATGGCCTCTTTCGGGATGACAGTCTTGCCATCTTCGAGTCTGGGAGTAACGTCGACGGATTCCCACTTGATCGGGACGTTCGCGGCGGAGTAGATGTTCTTGACCTCGTCGGCGATTTCTGGACCGATACCGTCACCCTCGATGAGTGTTACTGTGTATTTGCCCTGTTGCAAGCAATTCTCATCTCAGTATATGCTCCTTCACATGCAGCCTCTCCAACGGGCCGATAGCGCGGTTGGTGATTGAACGTACATCGGAGCCCTTCTGTCCCTTGAACTTGGCGACCTTGTCTGCTTGTGCGGTTGCGTGGCTGCGCGGTTGCGTCTGGCGACTCTCCGTTAGCAGGCGAACCTGGCTCTGGCTGCGACTCTCGCCAGATCTGTTCTCTCGGAGTTGATGGAAGTACCTGGGCAAAGGCTGGTCGAGCGCATTGTCTGAAGCATTGCCGCGCTGGAGCGGCGAACCGGCTGGCGAGCATTGTCGAAGTGGGATTACAGGTCCAGAGCTATGGTGGCTCTATTGTGTGACCTGGAGATAAGAGAGTCTGCTAGTCGGTACGGCAAGAGCAAAAAGAAGCAAGACAAGAGCTCTCTGCAGGCGCGAAGTCAAACTTCGCTTCCCACTGCACGCCAATCGCCAACAAGCGGCCGGAAGAGATGTCGGCGACTGATGATCTGATAACACAGGACCACTAGCTACGCTATTGATCAGGCACTTGGAGGAATCGACAGGATAATGCGTCAAGGAATCTACGTCGAAATGCTCTATAGCTTCACCATATTCCTTTCCATTATTGCTTCACAACGACTCGACTTCAATGCCTCATTTTGTATACGGCTTGGCACGGATCTTGCGATGCCGCCAAACTGAGCGAAGGCGGCTGAACCCTGCTCAGTCTCTCTACCGAAGCCCGTTCTCCGCCTAATAAAGATCAAACTGGACTTCGTACGTACATGGGACAGCTGGATAGTCTGGAAAGGATGGTTTATACGTCTGCTGGCAGACTTTGTTGTGCTCAGCAGTTGCGCCCTTGGCTATCGAGAGCTCGCCAGGAGCACCAAGTTTAGCCATCGGCCCAACTACCGGAGCCACTACTGTACTTTGTTCCAGCCTGGTCCAACGGCCGGCTGCCAGTGCTTGCTGTGTGCCGCCAAGAGAGAAGAGTATTTCTGTACCGTGCGTTGGAGTGGTGCCATCAGAAATGATATTCCCATGTTGCTTGCTGTTCACTGCGAAGGTCGATCATGTAGTCAACAGGCCAGTTGAATCGCGCATCGCCGTACTGGCTGCCGCTCTTGAGGAATCCATTCGAGAATTTGGTGGATAGACAGTTGTGCAGCGGAGATGCCTATAGCATCAATCCTCCTCTTTCGTGTGGCAGCCACTGGACTTTACAATCGGCCAGCATGTTGAGGTCCTAGCTGTCGCAAACATCTTTGGGCATGAGAATCAACTTGGTGCAGTATCCATCCATGACGCATGCAAATGATGTAAACGTCGTTGATGTACAGGGCAAAGAAGGTGTTGCAGCTTCAAGGTCAGGCCGCCTCGGCTTGGCGCTGGCGGAGGCTCCTGCAACAACAGCTCCCCAATAGTTCTGGCCAAGCAACAACACTATGCCAGGAATGCGGTAACATGAGCGCGTAACACGAAGCCACTGTATTGATACAATATTCCCAAGATGCCCATCTCGCCGGAGCAGGAGCGCATCCTCCTGAACCAGTACCATCTCACCTCTCTGTATCCAACCGAATGGCCGCATCAGGACGACGACTCATCGAGCGACGATGAACCGCCGCCGGCCTCCAAATTTGGCCACGCGCGACAGGCTTCAAAGGCTTCAGTCAATTCGCGTTTTAAGAAGATCGATCGTCACGCCAGTCTCAAGAGCAGCATCAAGACCTCGAGCAGCGATGTGGGCGTGCAGAAGGACGAGCCAGATGCGCTGGGCATGGCGCCGTCCGTGGCTGCAGAGCTACGAAAAAGAGGACTGCCGGTAGAAGATAATCTAGCGTTGCGCAATCGGTTTATGCTGTCGAGCACGACGTTCAACCCGGCATTATACCTATCGCAGGTGCATCAGACAGCCAGCACCGACGACCTGCTGCGCGGCCTGGACTTTCTGACTAGAAGTATCGAGCAGAAATCAGCCAGCCTGAAGTCGCTGGTCGAGAGTAATTTTGAGAGATTTGTACGCGCCAAGGCAACCATAGACACAGTCTACACCGAGATGCGGACACAAGGTGTTCAGCCTACCCGCTTGTCGCAGATGCCTAGTGCCGGTGCAAGTTTAAGGCCACATTCGCGACAGACGAGCAAAAATCAAAGCCATTTCAGGAACACGTCCGGACCTTGGGGCAGTCAGAATAAGATTCCCGCTGTTGACAAGAAAAAGAATGCACTCACGAAAGACTCTGAATATGGCGTTCAGGGGATCAAAATTCCGCTGCAGGAAGTCGCGATCAAGGCCGAAGAGGTCTGGGGTCCTGCGTTGGGAGGACGAGAGAAAGAAGAGACGCTGAAGGCTGTCTTGACGACTTTGGACCAGCATCGTGATATCTTCACTCTGAGCGGCACCATCTACGAGGCAACTAAGAAGACCGATTACGACTCCGTGGTCGATGCGTACAAACAGGCCAAGTCACATGCCGACAAGGCGCGAAAAATAGCGCAGATAGCTAAAGACAACAACGTGGATCTTGGTGACCAGGATATCAATCAGATTCTGGTGACTGCTCGCATGTGGCATGATGTGTCGGCACAAGTAGATGAATTTAAGCAGCAGGTGTGGCGGCGTCTTAGAAACTCTCATGGCAGGAAGGCCGCTGCTGTGGCCGATGAAAGTGATAGAGAGCTTCATATGGAGCTGATCGCTGTTCTGCTGCAACTCGGCGCCGAAGAGAACCCAATCTGGGTTTGGATCAACAGCCGCTACCTGTATCTGAAAGACAAAATTGCACGATCATTCGAGAGAAATCGGATCGAGCTCGAGATACTCCGCCGCAAGTTGGCCGCCACCACGAAAGTCGACCACATCGCTCTGGCCAAGCATCTTCGTTCAGCATCGACTGCGACTGGCACACTCCGCTTGAGTAAGGAATTCAGCCGTGACCTAGACGCTGCCAAAATCATCATCTTTTGGGACAAGGTGCAGTCTAGCCTCAGCGCCCTACTTTCTCCAGCTAATGGCATCTTGGGCGAAGTTCTGGAATGGTATAAGGGTGCTCAAGACTTCATCGACAACAAGGCGCAGAAATCTTTCCCAAACGGGGTCTTTGCGACGCAAGACTACACCCATCTCTCATTATCCCAGCAGCATATTGACTCGATACGATCCGAGACACTCGAGATCGTTGCACTGCTCCGTGAAAGCATTAATTCCTTCTTTCAAGAAGCCCCAGTCGACGATCTAAGCGAACTATATAGCCCCATCCCACCGACACCGGTTACGCCGCATTCGTCTACTCCGCAGACTTCTGGGATGCTACGCAGCTTCTCCTTCGATGCCAATAATGTCCCGCCGCCTAGCCCCAAGCGAGGCGATGCTTGGGAGAAATTTGCATTCTGGCCGCCAGGCAGCAACAGTCTTTCTGGATCACAATATCTGGCGAAGACTGTTGCGATTCTTGGGAACGGCTTTGGGGAAATGGCGAACTTAGGTATGATCAAGATGTCAAATGAGCCGGAGAAACTCAAGAATACACTCGTTGCTGCGCGTGAACGCTGCATCACTGGAATCTGTTCTTCTTGGGTGGCCGATGCTGAAAAATGCCGCGTGCTCGAAAGCTGGACGCGAAGTCCAGAGCGACGGGAACTGACGCTGATGCCCAGCTATTTCGAAGCGTGGGAGGAGCGGGTCCTGACAAATATTCAGAAGATCGCATATGTCTCCGACGCATCAGCTAAAGGCAGTGACGTGACTGTACCGCCGTCTGCCAAGCTTCTGCAAGTTGTTCGCGGGACTTTCGTCAACTCTCTGTACAAGGGCTTGAGTGGTATGGTAGAGAATGCCGAGAAGAACAAACTTGACGTTTCTGGCATTGGAGAAGGTGCGGATCCCGACGGAGTGACCGTAGCTCGGAAGCGTCTCATTGACATCGACGGTCCGGGAGTGCTGGGCACCGAGGCTCTAGACGCGAGCAACCGCAGCGTGCGAATGCTCATTACGCTCTCAAATCTCAACCACCTTCGTAGCGAGGTCATTCCGCAGCTGATCTCGCAGTTTGAGTCTGCATTCAGCGTCAAGCTCACAGAGGAGAGCGCAAAAATCCGAGATGCCTTCTCCCAAATCGACACTCGACTATTCCAAAGCTACGTCAAGCCAACCGTGGATAATCTGAACACTATCATCACAAACGGGATCACCGCTGACGACTGGGAGCCGAAGACGCCGCGGCCTACTGACGCCAGAACTTATGTGTACGAAGTCCTGATAGCACTCGTACTGGTTCACGCCGAAGTCACCTCTGCGACAACAAGTGTTTTGACCAATCAGATATTGAGCTATCTTCTCGAGCAGTGTTCGCTGTCCTTGATTAATGCTTTCAAGATGCGAAAGCACTATACGCTACCAGCCTTGATGCAAGCTACCCTTGACGTCGAATTCATGGCACAGACGCTCAACAACTATACCACTGATAAAGCAGGAGAAGTGCAGTCCCAGATATATTTGGCACTTGACGAGCGGACAGATAATGACGCGCGCGCGAAACTACAAGGAGAGCTGCCAGAGATGCGAGGCATTCTGAAAAAGCTACGCGAGAGCACCAAAGGCGAGTTCGGGTGCTTCAGGCGTGAGCGCAGAGGTAGACGTGAGGGCGGCAAGGCGTAGGAGTCCTCGATCGAACACAATAGCAATTCTGTCATCAGCTGCGACACAGCCGACAAGTGTGCCATCAATGGCGCTTGCCTCAGGTGCGGGAGCGAAGAACGAAGCTCCACAAATTCAACACATTTATGTTCCCCACCAAGCACTATCCGCAGGCATCGCAATCCATTTGATGTCGCACTTTATGATATCAGCGAAGAAAGTAACGGCAAAATTGCTCGCCTCGATGGTAGTGTCGATGGAGATCGGTCCCCCTATATTACAGCTGCAGAGAGAAACTGGTCTACCACTTACTGGGAGGGGTCGTGGTGGTGGGAATTGCTCCGCAAGAGCCTGTCGATAATTGAGGACGAACCTCAATGCAACATCGCTCCAGCTCCTATCGAAGAAAAGACTGTCCCATACGAAACCCGCGGACATCATCTGCCTCCAATGCCTCCATTCGGCTTGGATGGCGCTCCTGCTATTCACACGCGAGACAACGATCTTCCATTTGCAGGCCGCTCATTGGCGTGGCAGCATCGGCAAGCAGAGGCGCGATCACACATGGGTCCAAACATCAAGGGGAGACAAGAGCCCCGTCTTTGTGTATTGAAGTCTCGAGGACCACATGCCCATGCTGACAATCCGAATTTCAACTTCGATTCTGCCGCGCATGATAGTCTCCTAGACACTGGTTTCAGTAGTCAAGCTGCATCCTCCTGCCTTGCCTTCGACTATCTAGTGGCGACAGAGCTGCATCCTCAAGACGTCAACAAGGTCGAGCGATTCACGCAACGGCTTAAGCGTCGCCAACAGATCAGCAACCTAAAGACTAGAGCGACAATGCTGAGTCCTGAACCTGTGGTCATTCGCTCCCGCTCCAGCGAATATGCTACATTACGCGAGAAGTTTGAAAACAATCAGACTCATGATCAAAGTCCGTCATCCCAGCATGGATTTCGTGAGACTTCGGGAATCATCAGCTATCCCCCAGGCAGCCACCGAGCATCTTCTTCCACGACTACCACAGCTAATACACACGCGATCCGAGCTCGTGCAGTGACAGCGCCCATTCCAAAGACTCCAAACTGTAAGCTAAACACCGCTGCATACAAGCGAACAATGTCGATACAGAAGTCAGATGGGATTACTGCGTTCGTCCATGACGAGCGATGGAAAGGAAGGCTTCTGCAGATGGACGGCATCAGAAGGCAAGGAGCATACCGACATGCAGAGACGAGGGCATCTCAATCTTGAACGAGGCCGGCGGTGCATGGACTGAACTGCTGGCAGCACGGCCCGCGTATGAAGGCTTGAATGTTAGCAGCAGATAGAGAACAGCTGGTCGCACAAGAGCGGTGCAGGAACTCGCGACCTGAATGTTTTTGTCAAGACCCACCCAAGTCATGCCGATGTGTAGATTGCTCTTCTAGGGGCCAATGAGTCCTCCACAATCGTTAGACTCGTGCTACTCGAGACGGTCTACAGTCTTGTCGCTGGTGACTCTCAGCGCAAACTTCAGCGACTGTCGCCGGTCTAGGCCCTCAAATATCCACAGTCCGCCGCGGTCATTGCATTCGAGCACGTCTTGCCTCGATGGATCTTTTCGACAGCCGCAATTCCCCGAGGGCACGACAACCGCGAGATTCGTGCGCGCGTTTTTGCTCTTATCTTCTCCACTCCCCATGAATATAATCGTCTCAGCCGCCGCGACCACGACCTCTGCCTGGGCCGCCTCGTCCTCGTCCCCGTGCTCTGTCTCCACGGCCTCCGCCATGGTCGCCTCTCTGTTGCATGCCACCCCTGCCTCCCCGTTGTGACTGTTGTTGCGCCTGCTGCTCCTTGACCGCATCCACGACTTCATCTGGTACTCGTAGGTATTTTATCTGCGATTAATCAGAAGGAAATCTTGACGCTTTTCCCAACTCGTCTGGTTCTTACGTTGTTTCCTCTCACATAACACTCGGCTAGTCGGAAGAACTTGTCTCCCTCGGGACTCGTCTGCACGACTTCTTTGAGCGTGAGGTTCATGTAGGTGTCGCAGCTGACCAAGTGGCCGTTCAGCGTTTCTCCCGTCTTGAGCTCGACCAGCATGGGATGGCCTTGCGCGGCGTGGAGTAGGCCGAGTGGGAGCTGTCGCGGGTCATTAGTGCCTGTCTGGTGAGCCAGGACTCCAAGTTGTGATGAGTATCAGACATACCATTGTGGCTAGTCTCCAAGAAATTGCTGATTTGGAATGTTCAATACGACTGCTGACAGGTCATGCTCGCAGGTCAACTAGGAAGTGTTGTGGACCACTATCGCGTTCCAAGACTGGCAGCTTGCAATGTATTTGTTTTGATTACTAATCGTATATATATCTCGACTACCGAGGCTAGCAAACTTCGATAGCTAAAGGCTCTTAGACTCTACAACTATAGGCCTAGGTATGTTTATATTATATATAATATAGCTATCTATAAGGTTCTAGGAATACGATACTAGTTTTAGAGAATATTATAATTTTAGTTTCTATATATATCTATGCCCTAGTTTATAAAGGAAAATTTACTAATCTTACAATTCTTAATTATAGTTATGCTTTTTTAAGTTATATAGTAGTTTGTTCTAGCTATAGTATAGTAGTTTGTTCTAGCTATAGTATATAGTTTAGTAGGGCTTAGTATAAGTACTAGTATCTAAGTAGTAGTTTGCTGCTAGTCTAGACGCGCGCTATCAATTCCCTTAGACTCTTAGTTAGTAGGCTTTAAATATTTAGTTAGAAAACGAAATATATCTATAGTAAATACTAAGTACTACTTAGCTAATTACTATAGTAAGAGAGAATAGGACTTTAGCTATATACTAAAATAGCGATTTAGACTTTAGTAGTAAATTTACTAGTAGTAAAAGTTATTAACCTTAGCTTAAAATATATAAATAAAATTTAATTATTTAGGCTATATATAGAATATATACTAAAAGAATAGATATACTACCTTAGTAGAGGCCTAGATATATTATATATAACCCCCTAATTACTAGTAGTTATCCTCTAGCTAGTAAGTCTAGTAGTATAATTCTTAGAGATTAATAGCTTTAAGCTATACTATCTAGCTATTATAGATTTAGCTATTATACTAGTTATTTCTACTACTAGTCCCCCGATAAATTATATAGTTTAAAGTATAGAATACTAAATTACTAACTTCTAAATAGAGATAGGTCGATTAGTAGAGGTCGGTTAACGGTTCGACTAATAGTTCGATTTATAGTTTGATTAATAGTTTGATTAATAGTTTGATTAATAGTTTGATTAATAGTTTGATTAATAGTTTGATTAATAGTTTGATTAATAGTTTAATTAGTAGTTTAAATAGAAGTTAGATTACTAATAATAGTTTAATTCAAAACGTAATTAGTAGTTTAATTAATAGTCTAATTAATAGTTTAACTAACTGTTTGATTAGTAGTTTAATTAGTAGTTTGATTAATAGTTTAATTAGTAGTTCGACTAGTAGTTTTAGTTTAACAGAAACTTTAATTAGTATTATAGTAGTAGCTAGTCCCCCGATAAATTATATAGTTTAAAGTATATAATACTAAACTACTAGCTTCTAAATAGAGATAGGTCGATTAGTAAGTTAATTAGTAGGTCGATTAATAGTTCGATTAATAGTTCAATTAATAGTTCGATTAATAGTTCGATTAATAGTTCGATTAATAGTTCGATTAATAGTTCGATTAATAGTTCGATTAATAGTTCGATTAATAGTTCGATTAATAGTTCGATTAATAGTTCGATTAATAGTTCGATTAATAGTTCGATTAGTAGTTTAATTAGTAGTCTTATTAGTAGTTCGATTGGTAGTTTAAGTACTAGTAATAGTTTAATTTAAAATTGAATTAGTAGTTTAATTAGTAGTTTTATTAGTAGTTTAACTAGTAGTTTTATTAGTAGTTTTATTAGTATTTTAACTAGCAATTTAATTAGCAGTTTCATTAACTATTTAATTAATAGTTTAATTAGTAGTTCGATTACTAGTTTTAGTCTAATAGAAGTTTTAACTAGTATTTTATTAGTAGTTAGTCCCCTAATAAATTATATAATTTAAAGTATGTAGTACTAAATTACTAATATCTAAATAGAGATAGGTCGATTAGTAGGTCGATTAGTAGATCGATTAGCAGTTCGATTAGTAGTTTAGCTAGCAGTTTAATTAGTAGTTTGATTGCTAGTAACGGTTGATTTAAAATTTCGTTAGTAGTTTAATTAGTAGTTCAACTAGCAGCTTAACTAGCAGTTTAACTAGTCGTTTCATTAGCAATTTTACAAATAGCTTGATTAACTATTTAATTAATAGTTTAATTAGCAGTTCGATCACTAGTTTTAGTTTAACAAAAATTTTAATTAGTATTTTATTAGTAGTTTCTTTAATAGTTTTATTAGTAGTTTTATTAATAGTCCTATTAGCGGTTTTGTTGGTGGTATTGTTTCTAGTTTAGTTAGTAGTCTTAGTACTTTAATTAGTAGTCCTATTTATAGGTTAGCTTATAGTCTTAGTAGTTTTAATTAGTAGTCTTATTAACAGTTTTATTAGCAGTTTTATTAATAGTCCTATTAGTAGTTTTACTAACTATTTTACTATTAGTGCCATTTGAGTTATCAGTTTTATTATCAGTTTTATTATTAGTTCTTTTATTAGGTTCACTAATAGTTTAGCTAATAGTTTATCTAATAGTCTATCTAACAGTTTACCTAATAGTTTAATTAATAGGTTTGTTAATAGTTTTCTTAATACCTAGTCCTACTAGTAGCTGCCTACTAGTAGCCCTACTAATAGTCTAATAGTCTAAAGTTACTAGTAGCTCTACAGCCTCTACTAATAGCTTTATTAAAATTAATAGTACTATTAGTAGTCTTACTAATATTTTCGCTACGGGGACCTTTATACTAGTCGATAGGCTTCGTATTTAGTAGAATATAGCTATATCTAGGTCTTTAGTCTACGTTAAGCTCCTACTAAATTTTTATTAGCGTTTTACGCTTATATCCGGGTTTCGTTAAGCGCTTTCGATTTACGTTCTACGCTAAAATCTAGGATAAGTTAAACTTCCCTTTAATCTTTAATTAAATATTACTTCTACTAAAATTCTTAGCTAATTATTTCGGTCTTAGCGGACAACTTAGATTTTCGCGGGCGGTAGGCGCGGTATCTAGATTAGTAGCTACGGTACTAATTATTTCGGTATTAGCGGACAACTTAGATTTTAATACTAGCTAATACTAGCTAATAGTCCGAGCTAATACTAGCTAACACTAGCTAATACTAGCTAATACTAGCTAGCTAACACTAGCTAATACCTACGCTAAAATCCGGGGCAAGTCAAATTTCCCTTTAATATTTGTTTCGATTGACGTTCTACGCTGAAATCCGGGGTAAGTCAAATTTCCCTTCAATCTTTGATTGAATATTACTTCTGCGAAATTTCTCAGCCAATCATTTCGGTCTTGGCGGACAACTTGGATTTTCGCGGGCGGTAGCCGCGGTGTCTAGATTGGCAGCTGCGCTGCCAATAATGTTGTAGGTCTCGGTCGGCATCTACAATCGCCGACAGTGAACCTCAGGCGCCTGCACGTGACTTTGTCAGCTCAGCGGGCGGAGGAATAGGCAACACTATTCTTCGAGAAATGCATTCTCTCCCTCCTCACGTCGCCTTTCCAGGCTCATTGTGGACGTGCAGAGACATCTCGACGGGCTTTTGGTGCCTCGGGGGTTGTTATTATGTGAGCGACGACAAGCACGAGCACAAGCAGCGATGCGCGGGACTCTGCTCTCCATCTTGGCGCCCCTCTTGGCCTCTGCCCTCCCGATTCCGAGCATGCCATACCAACCCTCTACAGACATTGAGATACTCGACTTTCGTGCGCACACCTCAGGCCGCCGCATCGGCACATGCTGACGGGCTTGATAGATTGGGAGACGGCATGGACGCAATTCGCGTGGAAGCATGGAGAGCTGACGACTCCGCTGGTAAGTTGCTCACCCGTCCGCGTCACCGGGGATCCTTGGCAAAGCTGCCGCCTCGCCGTCACCCTCATCAGTGAATGTGCTGATGTGACGTGCCTCAGGTCTTCGAGCTCAGCGTCAATCCCGTCCAAGACTCCCCGTTGACCTCCAACATCACCATCAACCAACAACAGCTCGACATCCGATGGACCAAGACTGCGGACAGCAACACTGCTTCCTATGCGACCATTGACCTCCCTATCACCCACGTGCTGGCCATCGAGGATAAGCGCGGCGAACCTCACGCTGTGAACGTCACCGTGACGGGTTTCATACGCTCTACTTACCCATCGTACCATCTCCCCGAGCCTGAAGATCTACAACATCTTCAGCTGCATGTCCTATCTGTCGATGATCACGCCGTTAAGCACTTCGAACTGGGCCTCGTTGTGCAGCCGGATTCTCAAACCCATCGCCTGCAAAAGCTATTCCACATCAGTGACATGCAGCCAGGCAAGCTGAATGGTCATTTGACAGATATCATCACTTCTGAACCACTACTTGATGCAACACTATTCGAACACTATCGGCATGCTGGAGATGGCGACCTCGACATCGAAGCTGAGCTGGAGTCACTACTGCTTCTGGAGGCCGAAGCAGGTGATCTGAATTCCAAGATCGCCGCCAAGAAGCAAGCCATCGCACGATGTCTGAAAGACCACCGTGATCAGGCCACTTTAGGCCACCTGCTTCGAGAATGCGACGGCATTGTCTGTGCGGCGAAGGTGATCGCACAGCGCATCTGTGATAAGATGGGAGTCTTGAAAGAGCCAGACTTTCAATACGTGAAGATGAAGGACTCACAAAATCAGCGCCTCATTCAAGTCGATGAAGATCGCAACAGCACATCTCAAGCGGCCAGAATGGCAGGCAAATTCCAGCCGGGTCCAGAGAAGCACAACGACGCTACGCTGTCCGGAGCCAGGTACTTTGCTCTTCACACCAATGGCGGGGCCGTACATGTAGTCTATCCACAGAACGTTCTATTCCGGGTGTTGAGCATTATTGCCGGTGTATTCGGTCTGACAGCACTTTTCTCACTCATCCGAAGAAAGTGCATGTCTGCACGTAGCAAGGTTGATCGGCTTGCAGCTCAAGAAGAACGACGTAATGCGCGAGCTTACCGAAAAGCTGCTCGCCGTGCGGAGATGCGGCGACGCTGGAACGCTTTCATCTCCTCTATCAGCTGCTTTACGCCCCACCAAGAAACGCCGAGAGTTGAAGACTACGAGGAGAAGCGTGCCTTGATTCTTCAAGACGCTTTCTTGGAGCAAGATATGGAAGCTGCGGAGAAAGGCGAAGTGATGGAGGCTGAAATTCGAGAGCTGAGACATGCTCACGAAATAGTGTCTGGTTTGGTCGGAGTGGACGAGCACAGATATGATATGAGGGTCCCCATGAGTCTGCCCATCCACGATCCGCCACCACCGCTCGTGCCCCTTGCATACGACTCAACTGGCCGCTCTCGTGCGAGCACTGGAACTTTACCATCGTATACCTCTGAGATTCTGCCGGATTATAGGTCGCGCATGTCCGTCGCAACTTCGAGCAGCATCCACGACGGATCGACGATCTATTCTCCCACAACTTCATCAGCGGATGAGGTTTTCACTGCTCCCGCGACGGGAAGCACGCCTCGCTCTTCCAGCCCAAGCGCTGCTAGCACCGGCGAGCGCGGAACTCGAACGAGCCGAGTCAGTCAGCTCACGACCAGCAGTCGGCTCACTCGCTACACGCCGACGAGCAGCGTCGTTGAGGTCTCACCACGCTGCAGTGAGGACACTCTTCGAACGGCTCACTGGCGTCAATCTACGCAGTCAACCAGGCGGTCTCGGGACACGAACGACTTGTAAACATAGACTTTCTTTACGATTTCAAGAGCGATGAGCTTGTGGATGTAATAATGGAAATCACGGAGGCGAACTACGCCACTTTCAGTCTTCTTGTGTATGACGCTGTGAGAAGGCTGAAAGGAAATGGGTCTCATGGCCCCAAGAGAGTGCACTGTGAAAGTGCTTGTGAATTAGCATATAAAGACACATCACAAAGTGTCTGCGTCGACCTTCGTATGGCGTCTCACTTCTCCTATACTGTCTCCGTCTGAGGATCTACCATTCCAACCAATCTGGCATAGACAGATGCGAAATGGGAGAAAGACGACTTTTTGACGATCTGCTTGCCGTGAGGAGCTGGCGTGATTGCAGAGTAATCCTGATAAGATGCCGATTGGCCCCAGTTCTGCTCAATGATATCACGACACATTCTGCAGTCGTCCAGAACGCACGCCCTGTGCGTTCGGATAGTATCTTCCCAGATGACATCGACTTCTTGGATCGCGCCGTTGTAGTTGCCTTTGCCCTCCAGCACGTCCGCTCTGCTGAGCCAGAACTCTTGGCCATCTTTGGAGCGGCCATAAACACAGTCTCGACCGAGATGGACGAACAGCTCCGACATGTCAGGCTCGACAAGCCAGTCGTCACTTGCTGCTTCCTTGGTTGGTGCTTGCTCTTCGCTCGGGGACTGCCTACGAGAACCTTCAATAACGTGTTGTTGAGTGTCTTCCTGCTTTTCGCTGGCATTCCTGGGAGCATTGGCTTGGTTCCTGGTCATCTTGAGTTCAGAGCGTGAAGACGGAGTGAATAGGAGCCCTGTTTTAGAACGAGCCACATCCATATGATATGTATGTTCAACGCTTGCGATCCTGCTCTCTTAGCAAGCAAACGTCCAATGTGGGGAAAGACCAAGGCTCGAAAGGTCTTGCTGATATATGCTTGCTTCAGAACAATGCCTTCCTCGAATGCAACAACCAGAGCGTTCTTGCTTGAATCCGCCTATCGTTGCTGAGAGCACACCTCTCGATCTTCCGATCCTTGAATGTGCTCCTACACAAAGCTTGCGACATTGTCCCCAATCATTCTTGAGTGGAGATGCCATTATTTAATCTTTACTGGTACATATACACCTTAGAACGCGAAAATCCACCAACTTTGGGTGACTTTCTTCGTCACTACGCCGCAGCTCCAATACCCCAACACTTTATCGACGAGTACCACGAAGACAGAGCTTTCATGATGGGAAAAACTCTTTCCGATGATTCCCAGGCATCCACGCCGTACGAACCCATGCCAGAAGACGAATCAGGCACTATTACTGCCGGACCATCGCTATCGAGCACGACTCGCATCAGAGACTTCGCCATCCAGAAAGCTCCTGCAAACAAACTCGCCATGAACACCATATCTTCGGCAGATTCCGAAAAGGACATCTTACTCATCGTCATCACTGATCGTGCTTATGGAAGCTAGAAACTCCATCCCTCGCTTCTGTCTTCGTTCAAAACAGTTGACGTCTTGACTCCCGATGAAGACACCCGGGACAAGATTTTCCAGTCCACCAGATTCTTGGGGCATGATACCAGGTGAGCATTCCTAAACGTGATGAGCATATTCAGGAGCAGTTCTTGTCTTGCCTTGTGGTGACAGACTATTGATAAAGGAAATCGCTAACTGTTGATTGCCGCATACAGGCCAACTGTAAAGGTGTTCGATCGCTCGGTGTCCAAGGAGCAGTAGGTTGCCGCCTTCCAGGACATCACATCTTGTCTTTTGGTCACATCAAGATTTGAGGATTCTTCCATCGGGCAAAGGATCATCGCAGCTGCGAAAGAAGCACACGATCGCGGGACGTTCAAACACATGGTGCTCTCGAGCGTTCTGAACACTCAAATTTTGGAATTAGGAGATCTTGTGGAAAACAAACGCGAGCTCGAATGTGCGCTTATCCGCAGCGGTATTCCTTTCACGATATGCCACGAAGCAATGAAGTTCGATGACTTCATGCTTCCCAGCACGATCTTGGGTGAGAGGAAGATCCTACCTGTTGGTTGGCGAAGCAGCACGAGGTGTTCGTACATTTCGAGGCGAGATCTAGGCGAGGTACGTTTTTCTCATCGTATAGTCGACCATGCGCCCGAACTGAAAGTGGATAGGCATACGCCAGAATTCTGGCTGGCCGAGAACAGCACTCTGGCGCGCAATATCAGCTCGTAGGCACCCCTGTTGCTCTCAACACTCGGGACATACTGGTGATGCTTAAGCAAACACTGGACCACGAGGTCAGAAGTAACCGATTTTACGTTCCTTGGAATCCCGATGGCCGAGATGCATATCGGGTGCCAGATGATTTTGATCCCGACGACGTGCATCGCCAGCAGCAAAATTCCGTACAGCTCGTTGATCCACAGCAACCAGCTTTCCAAAACGATGCGGGGCGGACCTGGTCTCACGAGCTTCAAGCGTATCTGACCGAACCAATTGCTCTAGGAGGACCTGAGGACGACGAGGCAGGATGGTCACAGTTCATAAAGGAAGACAGCGCACAGCTATTCGCACGACTAGTTCCCGAGGCACGAGTGGAGTCTCCGGATACACAAGAACTTATCGACATCGAACTGGCTGGTACAAATAGGTTCGACTTTGAGGAAGGCGCCCCAGGTGGTCTCGCGTCAGCTCTGGCGGCAAATATTGAGTCAGAAACCGCTGCTCAGGCTGCATTGGCAACGTCTCAGCACACAATTGAACATCGAAGGACGTCACGCTTCCAAGAACGATTCGATATCGATACATCTATGACTGAAGATATTCCTGACGGACCAATTGCCATTCACGCCAAGCAGTTACCCAACGGCGATGTGGACGTCCAAATTCGAAAGGATGGGAGGCCCTATGTACGTCGTATTCATCCGCCTACACATGAGCTTTGGCAGATACCGTCCTCGTTGACACTTTCGGATATTCGACCCCATTCGTCAAGAACGGAGGAGTCGACCTATAGCAACAACGAGGATGATGACGACAACTTTGAGACCATCGCACCAGATGGAACCAGACGCCTAATTTTCGTCATGAATCGTTCTCATATGCCTTCTCCTAAGATGGAAGGCATCCAGAATTCTCGTCGCAGAGAAAGCGAGGCAGCGACTTTGCGCAAAGATGCTGAGAAGGCGCAGAAAGATGCGGAAAATATGCGTAAAGCTGCGGAGACTCTGCGGAGAGATGCAAGGAGAAACAGGCCGGCTGCCGATCTGCATCGAGTGTCGAGTGCACCGTCTCTCATTGACACTTCCCAGGGCCCCATATCTGCGGAGTACCATGAATTAATGGAAAGTCTGTCCAGGGGTAGGCAGATGCTGAGAGGTCCTGCGACTCGACCGGTGACGATAGCGGGACCGGCACCACTTGATATCCCTCAGTCACTTGAGGAAGAGGGCCTTCTTGCACATGTCGTTGGTCAAGCTCAATCCAGCGCGCCCTCAGAACCGTCCTCGCCAGGCACCAGTCCTTCCATCTTGCCACCACCGATGCTCACGAACGAGGATCCCGCTGATGCGATTCTGGCGCCCGCAAATATACCAGTAGGCGTGACTCCGGTGACAACAATGTCCAGAGTTTCACCAGCCACCAGTCCTTCCACCTTGCGACCAACGATTCTCACGAACGGGGTTGCCGCTGATGCGATTCTGACGCCCGGAAATACACCACCAGTAGGAGTGACAACGGTGACCGCGACACCAACACCTGAGCCGACTCTGACGCCTGCAAATACACCAGTAGGAGTGACACCGGTGACCGCGACACCAACACCTGAGCCGACTCTGACGCCTGCAAACACACCATTAGGCGTGGCTCCGGTGACAGCAATGCCCAGAGCTTCACCAGCCACCACTCCGCCAACCTTGCAGCCTGCAGTCGTCGCGAACCGAGGCAGCCCCGTTACACCGGTTCTGACGCCCGCAAATACACCAGTGGGAACGGCTCCATTAGCGGTGAGTCCCAGAGTTGCCAGCGCCGCGGCAAACATACTCGAGCAGCAAGTCCGTTTTCAGGCACTCAACGCTATAGCTGGGAGAAACAGGCCACCAGCCAGCTCTGGGCCCCATCCAAATCGAACCAGCCAAGAGAGCCTTGCCGATGAGACGAGTGCTTCCGAAGGAGAGCAAGAGAGTGGCGGGGCAGAGACGGCGAAAGAAAATCGGAATGACTCTGTGGCGGTCGACCCTACTCGCCATGACTCCGTTCCAACTACCGCTGAGTCTGCGAGAGCTCCAGTAATGTCGAGAAATGCAGCTGGAAAGCGACCGATGAGAGATGTAGCGCAGGGGCAGCGTCAACGCCAAGACAGTGAATATGTATTCGGAGAAGACGGAGGATGGTCCTGGATGAGAGGTCTGCCGGAAATCACAGAACGCGATGCCAGGACTATCAAGTTCCTGGACGAATCTGGATCGGTTGGCAATTCGAATATTCTACAGTGGCTCATCGGCCGCCAGCCAGAGGATCTGGAGATGTTTTTACGCCGCAGACATTACGAGCTCAGAGGTCCAGCTGTGAGCTCACGGTCAGCTCGACACCAGATCGAAGGCAGCGCCATAGAGTCCGACGATGGGTAGGTACGAGGAGATGGTGATACTGGCCGGTAAGAGATAAAGTCGTTCGTTGTACGGTAGAAGGTGAAGGTGAAGGTGAAGTGTGGAGCGGTCGTCCGTGAGATCCGTGCACGGAAGAAAGAAGGTTTTGGGCTAGTTCTTAGGGTATGAGCTGCCAGCTCGCAAAACAATTCGCATCCATTGGAACATAAACACCAACACCCCAATTCCATCTTCGCCGCATCTCGTCGTTCATTGCCATCATGTTCGCTGCTCGTAAGGTCACACAGTCCGTGCTCGGCGCCGCCGTGCAGCGCAGAGCTTTCTCTGCTACCGCCAGCAACGTGAGTATCGAATGGTCCGAGGTCGCCTTGCTTTGCGAGTTTGCGCATCGCATCGCATCGCATCATATCAATGGCTGACATGGATCACTCTGTAGCTCTCCAAGGTCGTCGTCCTCGGCGCGGCTGGCGGTATTGGCCAGCCCCTCTCGCTCCTCTTGAAGCTCAACCCACGCGTCAGCGAGCTCGCACTCTACGATATCAGACTTGCACCGGGTGTCGCCGCAGATGTCGGCCACATCAACACCAGGAGCACTGTAAGGCTACATTCAGAGGACAGATGAGGACCAATCACTCAATGGATTACAGGTCACTGGATATGAGCCAGGCGAGGAGGGTCTTGCTGCTGCTTTGAAGGGCGCTGAGATCGTTGTCGTCCCAGCTGGTGTCCCACGCAAGCCAGGCATGACCCGTGATGGTGAGCAGAAATGCCAGATGTGTGTGGCAGAAAATGGAAACTGACATTTGACAGACCTCTTCAACACCAATGCTTCCATCGTTCGCGACCTCGCAAAGGCTGCTGCCAAGCACTCTCCAGACGCCAACATGCTCATCATCTCCAACCCAGTGAACAGCACCGTCCCAATCACTGCCGAGGTCTTCAAGAAGGCCGGCGTCTACAACCCAAAGAAGCTCTTCGGTGTCACCACACTTGATGCTGTCCGTGCATCTCGCTTCATCTCACAAGTCAAGAACACCGACCCAGCGAATGAGACCATTAATGTTGTTGGAGGACACTCTGGCGAGACCATCGTTCCACTTCTCAGCCAGTCTGGCCACGAGCTCACGGGCAAGGAGCGCGACGAGTACATCAAGCGTGTGCAGTTCGGTGGTGACGAGGTCGTTAAGGCCAAGGACGGTGCTGGATCTGCTACTCTCTCTATGGCCATGGCTGGTGCCCGCTTCACTGAGTCCCTTCTCAAGGCCGCACAAGGCACGAAGGGCGTTATTGAGCCAACCTTCGTCGACTCGCCTCTGTACAAGGACCAGGGCGTCACCTACTTCGCTTCGGGCGTTGAGCTTGGACGAAACGGTGTTGAGAATATTCACCCAGTTGGCAAGATCACCGATCACGAACAAGGTCTCCTTGACAAGTGCTTGAAGGAGCTCAAGGCCAACATTGAGAAGGGTGAGAAGTGGTTTGCTGAGAACCCTTAGATGGTGTTTACAGTGCATTCATCTGAGACGAGCAAGCGGAAGTAGCGGCTGGTTACGTGCTGGATGCTGCGGATTGTATGTGTGGTAAGCTATGCCATAGCCAAAGCGCGGCGCATCTTGCCTGGCGTACAGGTGCGAAGGCGGGCTTGAATGCAGAGAGCTTCTGTAACAACCTGTAGATTTACGATTGAACAAAAGTCCGGCATGTTTATTATAGGATGCTTCATTCGTCCTCTGTACCCTCTGTGCAAGTTTCTGCTTGCCCTATGCCGTTACCGTGAAAGCCGAAAATACCATGTGTACATCTCATTTCTTCATGCAGCCTCGGCGTTGGACTGACATCCGACGGCACGACGGCACTCTGCTCAACGACCACTGCATCTCACGCACTCCGGCCGGCTCCTGAGTCCTCTAGACTGACCATGTACATGCTGGGTTTCGTCACCCCTCAAAGCAGATGCGGTTGACTTCGGGGGGAATACCAAGCAGTCTGCGTTGTCCCTGCCAAGTGCGACATCGCTACGGGGCGGTTTCAAGGCTATCGGAGAAGGAGTAGTAGACTGTTGGTTTCTCGAAAGGGAACGAACGCAAGGAGACTTCAGCGGAGACCGATGTAGACAGATACTTGCTTACTCCTCCGCGCATTATTTGCGTATTATCATACCACTTTCCACGCTCTGGTCTGTTCTCGTAGAACTCTCGGAATCTTCTTCAATAGTTCTAATCTAACCACGACTCGCCCAACACGGAGTAGTCACCGACCTGGCCCACGAGACTGATTGACAAAGCACGCGACAGCTCTCTGTAGCACGCTTTGAAGTGAGGCAGCAAGTCTTCACCTTCTGGCCTACACTTTTGTAGCAGCGTACAGAAAGAAGACACGGCTCCAGAGCGGCAACGATTTCTGTCGCCCGTTCTCGCCAGGCTCCGCTCGCCGCGTCCCCAGAGTCCCGACTCCCGAACCTAGCAAGCTGATTCTGAATAATAACAAGATCTCAAACAGCCTTATTATCGAAAGGCGTCCCCTTATTACGGTAGTGGAAAGCTGTTGCGACTGCTTCTTCCTTAAATCACCCGGATCACGCACATGCACATCGAGCACAAGAATTGCATCCTTTGCTATTCCTGAGCGCGTCACAAGCCGTCTTTACGGCGTATTCGAAAGCCGAGGTCTAGCTTCCAAAAGCGCGCGAAACTCGGCCCCCGACACGAGACGAGCGAGCAGAGCTCCAACATAGCCGGTGACAGCAGTGGCATCCACCATCACAGCAGGGGTTTTTGCTTCGGACTAATCTATATCTTTCGTTGAGCCTCCGAGGCACCTCTCACATTCCTTACATTCTTTTACCCTCGACTTCCAGGAACCGGACTGGATATGTTCGGTGCGGTTCGAGGGAGGGCCTTCTCAATAGCTCAAAGGACTCCAACATCAACTTACCGAGGAGCAGCTGCAGGCGGGAAGGTAAATAAAAGATACACAGTGACCTCGGAACGTCATGTATAAACCAGGCCTGGCTGACTTTCTTTTCTGCTCGACAGACTTTCAACATGGCGCAGCAACAGAAACGCAAGCAGAGCAATCTGCCCGAAGGCACGCATACTCCTGCTGTCCACAGTGACCTCTCTAGACTGACTCCTACTTTCTTCCAGGTTACCGAGAGGACCACGCGAAGGGGGCCATGCTCAGATTCGAGGACTCTCTTCCTAGATTACCCGTCCCTACACTCGAAGAGACTGCGAAACGATACCTCAAGTCCGTTCACCCGCTTCTCACGCCTGCCGAATATGACAACACAAAGATGGCCGTGGAGGCTTTCATTAAGCCGGGGGCCATTGGACACACTCTACAGGAAAGACTCATAAAACGATCAAAAGACCCAAAGATCAAGAACTGGCTGTCTGAATGGTGGAACAATGCAGCTTACCTTGGTTATCGCGACCCGATCATCCCATACGTATCTTACTTCTACTCTCACCGCGATGACCGAAAACGAAGAGATCCTGCTAGACGGGCAGCTGCGATCTCGACTGCGACTCTCGAGTTCAAGAAGCAGGTGGATGAGAACAGCCTAGAGCCAGAATACATGAAGAAATTGCCAATGGCAATGAGCTCGTACATCTGGATGTTCAACGCATGCCGTATTCCCGCAAAGCCAGCAGACTTCCCTGTCAAGTACTCGGCACAAGATAATGAGCACATCCTGGTCATCCGCAAGAACGCTTTCTTCAAGGTACCTCACCACCACAACGGCCAGCAGCTGAGTACGAAAGAGTTGGAACACCAGTTCAGACGCGTCTACGAGATGGCAGAGAAGGCACCAGCAGTTGGTATCATGACCACCGAGAACCGCGACAACTGGACCGACATGCGTGAGCGTCTGATCAAGAGCAACCCAGGCAACAAGGCAGTTCTCGAGGCCATTGAGGGTGCCTCTTTCGTGGTCTGCCTGGATGACGCTACGCCAATTACGCTGCACGAACGCTCACACCAATACTGGCACGGCGATGGTGCCAACAGGTGGTTTGACAAGCCTGTGCAGTTCATTGTCAACGACAACGGAACATCGGGATTCAATGGGGAGCACTCTATGATGGACGGAACACCTACCCATCGCCTCAACGACACTGTCATGCACTGGATCTTCAACGAGAAGCTTGACTTCGAGAACCCTGAATTCCGATCTGACATCCCAGACCCAATGCCATTGAAGTTCAAGCTTTCGGGCGAGAATTACGCTGACATCGCACTTGCAACAACCCATCACGTCGGCCTCATCTCTCAGCACGAACTCCGCGTCGAAGCCTTCCAAGGATACGGCAAGGGCCTTATGAAGAAATTCAAGTGCTCTCCTGATGCCTACGTCCAACTCATCATCCAGCTCGCCTACCACAAGTTCTACGGCAAGAACCGACCGACCTACGAATCAGCTGCTACTCGTCGTTTCCAGGAAGGCCGCACGGAGACCTGCCGCACAGTGTCCGATGAGAGCGTTGCATTCTGCAGTGCTATGCAGCACCCACTTTCCACTGACGCTGAATGCCGCGATCTCTTCCGCAAGGCTCTTAGTGCACACACCGAATATATCACTGCTGCCAGCGATGGCAAGGGCGTTGACCGACACCTTTTCGGGCTGAAGAAGCTCCTCCAGTCCGGCGAAGATACACCAGAAATATTCAAGGATCCAGCATACACATACTCCAGTACATGGTTCATTTCCAGCTCACAATTGAGCTCAGAATACTACAATGGTTACGGGTGGAGTCAAGTTATTGACGACGGTTGGGGGTAAGTTCTCGACACAATCTGCCAAGCTGCAAAGCAATACTAATTGGAATACAGAATCGCCTACATGATCAACGAGAACAGCGTCCAGTTTAACATCGTCAGCAAAAACCTTGGTTGTGAACGCATGGCATTCTACTTGAATGAAGCGGCGCAAGACATCCGCGCTGTTATGGAGGCTGAGAACACCAACAAGCCACGTCTATAGAGATTTTGAGCGATCCAAGCATTGGTGCGTTTTTGTGTATAGTACCCGACCCAGATGATATACGGTGCGGTCTAGTTACCATGAGAGAGTGAGCTATAGCGCCGCGGCAGGTTTGCCATTTCGAAAAGACAGCGCCCATTTGAGACTTTCGATGTGTGAAAGCAGTCAATTTCCTCGTTCTCTCCATCTAGGTACAGCAAATTCATGCTGTTGGCACACGGTACATGCAAGAGCCTCAGCAAACCGGGTCTTGTTTGAGATGGTGAGGATGTGGCATCATATTCGTACATTCGTCGCTAGTCCAGCTATCGATAACCATCTGGTGTTCCCTTCTCGCACTTGTTTGGTGGCCTGTATCCTCGCCTCACATTCGACCAAGCTACGCAAGCTCAAACGCTACAAGTACTCAACGCCTATAATGCTGCCTTCCCAGTGGTCTTCAAATTTGTTACTTGATGCTCTGCGCCGATTCATCCAATCTCCGTCACACTTCGCCCGAACGTCACTTCATTAACTGGCCGTGGCCGTCGCCACCTCCTCCACCGGATTCTTCCCAAACCCAGCATGCTCATTATGCCTCTTGTAATAATAGCTCCCATCTCTCGGCTTCAAACCTGGACTCAAGCCCTCCAGCACAGTCTGCAAAACCTGATCCACACCAGCCTGATGTTCCGCATCGCGATTCCAGATCTGTATCAACATACTATTAAACCTCACCGACAGACTCACGCCACAAATATCATCCCGAAACGTCTTCTTCTCCGGCTCTTCCACGGCACGTTGTAATTGCTCCCCAATCGCCATCATACATAACTCTTTCCAGAAATCTGGGCCGTTGGACTTGGGCACGCGGAAGGTCCAGCTTCCGCCTTTTTCGTTGCGGCTATCTTCCCATACGGGCTTTACGCCTTTGTGAAAGAGGTGGATGCTGTCGCGGAGCTTGAGTTGCGTGATGTCGAAGTTGTTGAAGACGGACCAGAAGGCTTTCACGTCGCTGATTTGTGCGAGGAGTTCGAGGCGGGATTCGTAAGTGTGGTGGTGGTGGTTGTTGTTGTTGTTGTTGTCTTTTTCCTCGGTTGTAGATCGATCTTGACGATCGTGCCAGAATTCCCAGCTGTGGACGAGGGGAGGGGCGCGGTTCTTTTGGTTGAGGCGTGTTTGAAGGAAATTGAGCATTTCTGCTCCTCGCGCTGGAGATGTTGTGGCTGCTTGTTCGGCGGCGGTGATATTGGGTAGGCCGGAGACCTGGAGGCGAAGTGGGTTGGCCATTGTATCGAGCGTTGAAATGTAGATTGGAATCGGTGTCGTCGAGAGGAGGACAATGTGGGAGAGGAGTTTTGGCGAATAAAGAGATGGATATACAAAGAGATGGGTTACGGTAAGGGATCGGGAGTAACTTGAGGAATGTCTTGTATATGTCTGAATGAGAGCCTGACTATGATTTCTCCCTTGCGAGACAGGAGCGCACAAGTTCATTCCGAACGTCGTCGTCGCCTTGTTTCATCGTCGAGATCGTCAACAGGGGTGTGGCGCGTAGGGGAGCTACCCAGTCGCCAGTACGACAAGCTCTAGGCTTTTCAAGGGTCGCAGCTGCCCAGTGGTTTTGATTCAGGATGCATCGATGTGTCCATCAATTGCTCTCTCCTTGGCCTTCGTCAAGCTGGACCCTGGGCCGAGGCTGAGAGATATAAACTTTGCTGAAGTGAATCAGAGCCAAGTGGGCTGTTGGACATCTGGCCATTGAAAGCGTTACTACTGTACTTCACGAAAGCTGTCTCTGCCAGACCAATACAGCAGTCCTACTGTTCCAGCACAAGACTAGAGATAGATCTCCATCATGGCTTCCACAACAGAAACCTCGACTGCGACCCCTCAAGACGAAATGCACACCGTAGTAAAAGCAACGCAACCGAGCGAGAAAACACAAACCTTCCATGTTGGTACGCGGAGATCGATTCTAGCAAGAGTTCAGGCAGATGAGGTTGTCAAAGCTTTGAGGAATGTCTGGCCAGAGCACCATTTCGAAATACATGCTATGTCCACGACAGGCGACAACAACCAAAAGACGGCATTGCACAAATTCAATGAAAAGGCATTGTGGACTCAGGAGCTTGAAGTACTTCTCGAGAAAGGAGATGTGGATATCATCGTGCACAGTCTGAAAGATATGCCAACACAATTACCTGTTGGGCTCGAGCTTGGGTGTGTTACGAAGCGAGAAGATCCTAGGGATGCACTGGTGGTCAAGTCATCTCTGGCGGAGAAGATCAAGACCCTCAAAGATTTGCCTGATGGTGCGGTTGTTGGAACGTCTAGTCTTCGCCGGCAAGCCCAATTGAAGCGGCACTACCCGCATTTGAACTTCCAGGACGTTCGTGGAAACATTGGCACACGACTTAGCAAATTGGATGATCCAAATTCAGACTACTCTGCGATTGTCATTGCTGTTGCTGGTCTCGATCGTCTCGGTATGAGCAGTCGTATCAATGCATACCTCTCGAAGGACAATGGCAATATGCTCCACGCTGTTGGTCAGGGTGCCCTCGGCATTGAAACGAGGACAGGTGACGAGCGAACGCAGGAATTGCTGTCGCAAATCGGCGATCAGAAGACATGGCTGCAAGCATTGGCAGAGCGCGCTCTCATGCGGACATTAGAAGGAGGCTGCTCTGTTCCGATCGGCGTCGAAACGGAGTGGGTCTCCAAGAAACGCATGCACGACCAGCATGCTGGAGTCGGAATTAAGCCCGCCGCCGATTACGACCAAGTCAGTGGTGAAGCGACGGAAGTCAATGCAGCCAAGGAGCAAGAAGACGAACTCTCAGACGAACTAGTCATGCGAGCCATCGTAGTCAGTCTGGACGGTAAAGATGCTGCGGAGATTGAGACTCGGCGGAGGATCACTACTCATGAGCAGGCCAACGAATTAGGATTTGATGCTGCGAAGCTCCTGGTTGAGAAGGGCGCCGACAAGATTCTTGAGCAAGTTCAGCTGAACAGAGGAATCATCAAGGAGCAAGGCAACGCATGAGGCAGTGCAGCATGACGCGAGACGATCTTGCTCGACACCCAATGGCAGAAGTGATATCGCCAATATCGCCTATCATCAGTGAAGGTGCTAGAGCGCGTGGTTATGATCTCCGAGCCATGACTGGGCCGGCATCGCGAAATACAAGAGCATCCTCAAGAGCATCCTCAATGGTCACACAGCCAAGCGCGAGACAGTTTTCCCCTCAAAGCAGCCATTCCCATGCTCAAACTCCGCACCGCACCGCTCGGGACAGATGCGGCTGCCATTGCAAAAGTTAGTGGCAAGACTTGTGTATCGAATTGAGAGCAGACTCTGACTCTCAGCCACGGCCTTCTCGGAGTCACATAGACTACGCTACGAAGAGCTTATGCCCAAATGTTCAAGTCTAGCCTCCTTGGCCTGGCGTTTGCGACAGTAGCCACCGTCGGACATTGACTTCATTGCTCTCCGTGTACGCGTGAAATCTGCATATGATGCATGTCCCCGCCCTTGCCGTTTGCCGAAGCCTCACCATCAAGCAGTCTTCGTGTCGATGTCCATGTCTGTGATGGGCAGTCTATGTCTTATCGCTCCTTACCTAAGTGTCGCTGCCACCCTGTCGTGTCTCTTTCCAACACTGCAGTCCACGGACTGAAGTCCGAGACAGATGGCTAAGGTTTGAGCTCGCGCCACAGAGCAAGGATTTTGAGTTTCGGTAGCGCCTCGGCAGATGTTGTCCTCGCAGTGACGAGCCATGAAAATGTCCAGCCTTTTTCCACCTGAACGCTCATCTCAACCATGCCACCGAAACGTAGTTCTACAGAAGCTGGACTTGAGACCATCAGCCGGACGAGACATCTCACCAAACGCCCACGTCGAATGCCGAATCATGAGCGCAGCAGCGATAGTGAAAGCTCAGGTCCTTCATCCGCTTCAGATCTAGAAAGCAGTCCTGTGGCATCTGCGAACACAGCTGCCACGAGCACCAGCTCTATAGCCAGCTCGACATCCAGCGATTCGGAGAGCAGCGACGAGAGCTCGGACGGCAGCGATAGCGAGGACGAAGTACAGGACGATCCCGATGCAGAAATCATCACTATTCGACCAACCACATCCAAGCCTTCTATCGACCCTGCCAGGGTAAAAAGCTATGCGAAAGAACTACAAGCAAGACTGGATGATTTTATGCCCAGGCTCCGACAAGCTAATAACGACCTGGCGGCCAAGGGCAGCAGTCTGAGTATGGAGGACGTTACGGAAGGAGAGCAGCATATTGAGATGAATCTCGGTCTCGGCGTTCTCGAGCAGACGGGCGATGAGAGCAACAAGTCCGGTGATGTTGCAGTGAGAGCAGAGGCAAAGTCGCCCAGTAGCAGTGACGATGCTGATGAGGCGTCGGACGACGAGGCAAATATTATGTCGCGATTGATGAGCGCTCCGGCGACGAATGGCAAGATATCGATACAGGAAGTGCCCACAGTCGACGAGCATTAGCTCGTAGTATTGTTATTCTAAGTGGGCGTCCAAAGGTGCTTGATCTGGCCGTTGTCCATTTCCGGGCGGGCTTTCTGTTGAGTCCCATTGTAAACATTGAGCTGTAAAGCTAGGACCACGGCGAGTCTCTGAAGAAAGCAAAGATTGCTATCTCATGAGCCTCACGATCTGGATGAATTGTGCATATTCAGCTTCGTCTTCGACAGGGATCTGATGAATAATTTCTGCTTCCTTGCTGCCTCGCTTCAGCTCCACCAATGGCGGTCAACAACACCTTGACGACATTCGAACAGCGGATTGAAATTACCATAATAAAATGTGCAAGGTTCGATCGCGTTCGCATTCCCAGTCGCACATGCTGGCGGAGGAAGCAGACCTATATTTTGACAAGTCATGTAAGTGTTCGTTACTGAAATTCTTCCTTGCTCTATCTGTTTTCTTGCTTTCTCTTGCAATATGCGAGGTAAAATCGTTGATTCTGGCCTCATATTCGGGCTGCTCGCCGTATGCTCACTCGCGAGCTGTCAATCCATACCAGGGGAACGCAAGGTGTGCCGGGTAGCGTCCCAATACGCGGCATCAAACGGCACTGCAGATGACTCGCCGGCAATCGCAAAAGCGTTCGAGGCGTGTAGCTGTGGTGGCATCGTCGAATTTGGAGATGGCGTGGACTTCAATGTCCTCACTCCAATCAGCGCGAACAACCTTAGCAATGTGGAAATCATAATGAATGGCAATCTGCACCTTCCCAGAGATATCGAATTCGTCCAGAAAGTGTACAATCACACCGCCAACAAAGATGGAAAGCTTTTCTGGTTCACGTTTGCAGGAGAGAACATCTCATACACTGGAACTAAGAATGTGACGACGGGCTGGATCTACTCATACGGGCAAGCATGGTGGAATGCTAACCGTGTCAATGGCACTGGCATCGTTGGCCGCCCTAACCTCATGTTGCTAAACATCACCAACGGCATAGTCAAGCATCTCAAGTCTTCTAAGCCGATCGCGTGGAACTTTCGACTGAGCGGCAGCAACATCACTGTAACTGATACGATCATCGATGCATCTTCTGATACCGATATTGGTCATTTTGGCGTAGGATTTCCATTCAACACGGACGGCTTCGGAGTCGCTGGGACGGACATCACAATCACTGACTCGGTGATCTATAACGGAGACGATGCCTTTGGAATTTCAAGCGGAGCCCACAACGTTAACATACGACGAGCCACGATCGGATATGCTAGTCATGGTCTGTCCATTGGCAGTTTGGGGCAAAATCAAGCTGGATTCGCCAATGTAAGCAATATCTTGTTTGACGACATCACCTGTATCAACACATTGTATGGGGCAAGATTCAAAAGTTGGGTTGGTGGACAAGGTAGGTGACAATAAACGAACCCGGCAGGTGATGTGCAGCTGACAGCAGGTGGAAAGGTCTCGTCAAGAACATCACATGGCAGAACATTCGTGTCTATAATGTCACCTTTCCAATCTTCGTTACTCAGACGTACACCAACCAAGCCTCCCCTCAGGTACAAAGTAAGGACGGAACTATATCTGAACAACGACCAAACAATAGTTCTGTCGAAATGCAAGACTTCAAGTGGATCAATTGGACCGGGGTGCAGAACACCTATGCTCCCGGCGATGGAAGCTGTGTGAGCGATGTAAGAGCCTCAAGTTTTGAAGCTTAATATCTCCGCTAATTGAAAGCAGCCTTGTTGGTACAACGCCGGTCTTCCAGGTCTCAAACACACCGAAGCCATCATCATCGAATGCAATACCAACCAGTCCTGCCAGAACTTTGAGATGAAGAACATTCAGATATTTCCGCAAAGTGCGCTTCCGCCCACGGTCATCTGTATGAATGCAACAGCCCATTCGAACCCTGCACTCGGCTTTCGCTGTGAGAATGGGACATACATGCCTATTGCTTGAGCATGGAAATCTAGATCTCGGCACAACGAACCATAAAATTGACCATATCCAGAGGACCCTTCTCTTTGTTCCACATCGCCAAGAACGTCGTCAGAAAAATGTCTGCCCACGTGCAGGACACGAAACGACAATGAATCTCTGACTTTTGGAACAAAGACACTACCACACCTCGCCACCTCTGCTTGCAATCACCTCACCGCCACCAGCATCTCCCTCCCTCCCTCGCTCCGCCAACACATCACAATCCTTCCCGTGAAATGGCCCTCAGCATCCCACCGGGACAATTCTGGGGCGGCAACAACGGAAACTGGTCCACCTTCCGGCTAATCCTCTCACCCTCAAATCCCCAAAACGTCAACCTCCTCCCCTCATTCCTCACCTCCCAAATCTGGGTGCCCACCCTGGAAATCTGCAACAACGCCTCCGTGCTAGGCACCGTCTCCACCAGCGAATGCTATACCCGTCGAGGAAGACCCTACGATCCCTCGGATTCCCGCGAATGGAAAGTATCCGGCCTCTCCACCCTACCTATATCCGGCCGTCCGGCGATATTCGGCACGGATAATGCGACGATTGGAGATCCTCCGACTATTACGATTGGGAGGGAGATCGTAGCGGGAATTACGACTTTGCAGCCGTTTTTAGGGAATTTCGGGTTGAGTGCTGCGCAGACGACTTTGCCGTTTGATACGCCGGAGAATGCGACGAGTTATGGGATTTTGACGGATTTGTGGAAGCAGGGTTTGATTGGGAGTCGGGTGTGGGGGGTGAATGTTGGGGCGAGTTATAGGGGGACACGGGCGAGTTTGACGTTGGGGGGATATGATGCGGCGAGAGGGAATGATGATGGAGGGACTTTGACGGTGCCGATGAATGCGGATGCGAAGGTTAACGAGGGGGATTTACTGGTTGAAGTCAGAGCGATTGGGATTGGAGGCGGAACTCCTCAAGCGAGGTTCATGACGGGGCTGCCTGTTACTGCGGTTGTGGACTCTTTGGTGCCGGATATATATTTGCCGGCTTCGACTTGTGCGTATTTTGAAGAGGCGTTTGGCTTGGTTTGGGATGGGCCGAGTCGGAGGTATTTCTTGAATGAGACGCAGCATCAGAAGCTTGTTACGATGAATGCGAGTATTTCGATTGCGGTTGGCATTCCGGGGGGAGATGGGAATGCTTTGAAGACGATTACGCTGCCGTACGCGGCGTTTGATCTAAATCTGACCTGGCCGATGAATGGGATTACGGGACCGAATGGGACGAGGAGGTATTTCCCATTGGTGCGGACAGGTGGTGGCTATTATCTGGGAAGAGTGTTCTTGCAGGAGGTATACCTGGCTGCGGACTATGAAAGAAGGACATTCAATATCAGTCAAGCGAAATGGCCAACAGGTGGGAAGAAGGATATCAGAATGGTCGTGTCTTCAAACACAAGTACGGTCGTGACGCCGGCTAGCCAGAAAGGAGCTGGACTTGGCAGCGGGACAATCGCCGGAATCGCGTTGGGCGTTGTAGCAGTCCTTGCAGTTCTCGGCCTCATATTCTGGTTCATGCGAAAGCGAAGACGAGCAGAAGCAGAAAAATCAGGCCGGCAGATCTCGAGACCGAAGAACATTGGAAGCTCATCCTTCGGGCCTAGAGCTTCGACAAGAGTCGGCACGCCAGTGGAGAAGAGCCCAGCATTTACCCAACAAGCATATCAGGACACGAAATTCTCTCCGACACTAATGACTGGCGTCAGCGCGAGCGACACCTGGAGAACCACGATCTCAGGCAGGCATGAGCTGTCAACACCGCAGACTGTACAATTCGCCAGTCCGATGCCGGATTCTGCGAGAGGGCCGCCGAGCAGCTGGAAGAATCCGTGGGCTGATGATCCTGTAGAGCTCGACGCGGCCGTGGAGCTTCCGGCTTATCAGAACGATCGATTGCCCTCAAAGGAGTCCTCGCAGAGATACAAATTCTGATGGCAGATCTTGTTGAGCGATGAATCAAGGACAAATTTGTACTCATGGCGTCAAGAGGAGCTTCCGATTTGTAGACATTTGCCAACACATGGTGAATGTGGAAGCTGCTCTTCTGGTGTGCAGCGGCCGAAATCATGCGCGGGCTTCAGCGGATATCTTGCATTTGTTCTGGGACCACATTGCTAAAACATTATCGATGACCGTTCGATCAATCCAATCAATCATCGCCGATCCGAATGGTGCCTTCAAGCGGGTTCTCTTCTGCTTTTACTGGCACACCCGGCGTCTGCTCTTGCGCTTCTTGTTGCAAATGCTGGGGCTCTTCCTCGGCTTCCTCAGCCTTCTCTGCAGCCAAGTCGATGATGGCACCAGACTTGCCCATGGCATCCGTATCATCTATCGAGGCGACAGATGCATAGGTCTGGTGTTGCTCAGGATCTTCGGCAGAGCCGTTGTTGCTCTGCTCTCGGCTACTGAGCCATTCCGCAGGCAGCCCATCGCGAGCACTTGGACGGAGACCTTGTTCTGTGCTTTCTGAGAGAGCCACGTCTTCCTGATTGTTGCCGGTATCAGCTCCGGGGCGTGTAGCTTGTGTTCCAACGAGATTGTCCTCTTGCTTCTTCTCACTCTCGGAGCTCTTGCTAGGCTCTGCTAGTGCCTCCCTGCTCGGCTTCGGTTCCAGCTTGGCAGCAAAGTCCTTCTGTTCGCCCGGAGTGCTCAGGATATCATTAGAAGCGTATCTCGAGCCATTATTTTTGCTGGGCGACTGCTTCCGAGGGCTGTTTGCGCCGTTCTCGGCTGTCTGCCTGGCTCTCGAAGCCACTGTCGATGATGAAAAGCTCTCTGCCTGGGTCGCTAACCTCTTGGTCTGCTGCTGCGCCCTCTCGACGATGCTCTCAACCTTCCGCTCGATGTCCGTGACTTGCTGGCTCACCCTTCTACCAGCTCCAAAGGTACCATCCTTCATGGCCTGCACATCGCGCCGAAGCTGGTCATGTATGTTTTTGGAATCGACCGACTCGAGCTTCTTCTCTAACCTCTCCCCGATCTCTTCCACACGTTCTTCGGCCTTTCTTTCAGCCTCTTTGCCATATTCGACAGTCTTCTTCACAGTGCGCGGCTTGCCCCAGTTCGTGTAAGCCTGTAGGAAGAATCGCGCAAAAAGGAAGGTCAAGGGTGCAAGATACAGCAGATTCAGATAGATAGCAAAGGCCTCGCCAGAAGTGTCGATGCAGCTGACCGTGGTCCGATCCTGGCGCCATCTTGTCTCGTAGAGAGGCTCCACGCGTTCCCTAAACTGCTGGATCTTCTCTTCCATTCTTGGCACATAGGCTTGTCCTGCGAAGTCCTGGCGCGGGCTGTGGCTGACTCCAACTCGCTCCGCCAGTCCTTCCTCGCCAAGTCCGCGAAGCAGCAATTTCTTGCCAAAGGCGACCCAATCGAAAGCAGAAGGCGTTGCGATGACGCTTGAAACGGTGGATGAAGCGGCAGCGGCTTTCGATGATGCACTTGCGAGAACGGAAGAGACTGTGGCGGCTACTCTGTATGGAGTGCGAACGGGAATATCGTACTTGATGAACAAATGTGCTGCAGCGTAGGAAGCTCCCCACAGGAATTGCGCAATCTGCATGCTGGTTAAAGTGCGCTTCAAGATGGTTGGGGACCTGTAGCCGAGCGCGGAAAGAGTGTAATATGTGTACTGCAATAATGTTAGCTGAATTCAGTGCTGAAAAGATGGTCTCACTCACCATCAGCGCGTGGATAAAGCTGTTGACAAAGACGAACATCCAGATTGGGGGGCTCATGTAACGGATGCCAGCCCACATACAAAGCATGGCTCCGCTGTGGTGATATGTCTGCAAGGTCTTGCTTCTCTTGCCCTTGACTATGATGATGGCTGTGTCGACGACTTCGTAGAACTTGCTAACATAAAACACCCATCCCCAGAAAGCCAGACCTTCGTTCCAGAGTCTGCCCACGTCGGTTGGGTCGGGATTGCCATCGTAGCCCAGCTTAATCAATTGATTCTTGGCTTCCCAGATATTGATGGTTGTGTTGAATGCAGTCGCGTCTCCAAGTCCTCTCGGCCCGTGCATCTTGCACAGCGCGTCTGCTATGCCAGCCAAGCCAATTTCTGAATTCACTCCCGGCCATGTATGCGCAATGGCCCTGCACATGGCGAGAAATGTGGCTGCCGAGTAGAGAGCCAGTAGTGCATTGTGTATGATGACGAAGTATCTGAACCACCACTGTTTCGCGATCCACCACTTCTGGTTGTTGTGACGGCGATTGTAGGCGTTCAGGAAGAAGACGGCGATCAGGTAGGCGCTCGCGAAAGTGATTGGAACCTGCCATTTGAGAGCAAAGTTGAAGAGATCCTTGTCGATGCCAAATGGCGCGCGGAAGGATCGCTCTTTGACGGGAGGTGGAAGTGCGCGTGGTAGGGGCTGCGGCGGAAAGCTGTTGAGAAAGCCAAAGTCTGGCCATTGCAGATAGACCGACATGGTGACGGCCGTTCGTATGCAGGCGTGGTGGGCGCTCGCGACGCAAGGGCGTGGAAGTGAAGTGTTTCAAGTCGTGGTAAACACTCGGCCAGATAAAGAGTCGCACTGTGATCTACGGAGATATCGTAACAAGAAAGGGAAGGAGGGGCGGGGATTGGTATGCCTCCGCCAGGCAGGCGCTGTCGCAAAACTGGGAAATGCAGATGCAGCAAGAGTGAAGTGTTCGATTGTTCCCAAAAGACGTTGCCAAGCTTAGGAGCTGTTCGGTTGCACCTGCGGTTCCAGGGGTAGGTGGATTCGGTGGTGTAGCTTTAAACCATACTACACCGGGGCCGCTATAGCTAGTGTAGATTGGTATAGATTATTTATAAGGCTATCCGTACAGTAATTTATCGCACTTGTTCGGTTGTAGATGCAGTTGTCCTTTATAGAATAGTAGAATATAATAGGGCTCGAATACTAGCTATATAGCCGCCTACGGGTCTACCCGAGTAGGGCTTAGTAGGTAGAATTTTCGTATCCCGAGAATGTAATAAATTCTATACTTTCTACTATTATAAACAACAACACTAACGATGCCTATATATATCGCCGTATATACCGATTTTTTAATAATACTATACGCTTTAATTTGCCGCAAAAACTAGTTCGATCCGATACCTCCTCGTTAAGAAACAAATCCTGCCGTTATTATAGCCGACTCGTAGCTTCTACCTAAGCTTAACAATATATAGAGCACCTAGAATACGCAGACCCTTACCTAAACAGCACTATAGGATATATAAGTCTTAGAATCTTAAGGTATAGATAGAATCGCCTTATTAGGAATATAAGAAGAGGATTCTAACGGTTTAGACGACGACAAAACACTATAAGGAAGGCTCGACTAGTCTCTAAGCCTTAAAGAGCTATTCCTCGAGGCTATAGCCCTACAAATCGACCTTAATAACTACCGTAACGGCACTCTTAATACTAAAGGTCGTACTAAGGTACTCGAGGTTGTTAGTAGGCAAGCTAAGCGTCCGGTTACTTAGAGATAGTGCAAGATAAAGCTATACGCCTATAAGGTACTATATACGGCCTTCGTAGCGCTCGAAGCCGAGTCTAGGTTTAGCATTAATCTAGAGACTAGTATTATTACTACAGACAGCTACGTATAGAATAATTATCTTGCAAAGAAGATACATACTAATGCGAAGCCTCTAAGACACCGTCCTATACTATATACCGCCTTCTATAGGACACTCTTTAGTAACAAGACTGCTACTAGACAGGCTTCTAAGGAGCTGTTCGGTTATACCTACGGTTCTAGGGGTAGGTAGATTCGGTAGTGTAGCTTTAAACTATACTATACCGGGGCCGCTATAGCTAGTATAGATTAGTATAGATTATTTATAAGGCTATTCGCATAGTAATTTATCGCACTTGTTCGGTTATAGATGCAGTTGTCCTTTGTAGAATAGTAGAATATAATAGGGCTCGAATACTAGCTATATAGCCGCCTACGGGTCTACCCGAGTAGGGCTTAGTAGGCAGAATTTTCGTATCCCGAGAATGTAATGAATTCTATGCTTTCTACTATTATAAACAACAATACTAACGATGCCTATATATATCGCCGTATATACCGATTTTTTAATAACACTATACGCTTCAATTTGCCGTAAAAACTAGTTCGATCCGATATCTCCTTGTTAAGAAACAAATCCTGCCGTTATTATAGCCGACTCGGAGCTTCTACCTAAGCTTAACAATATATAGAGCACCTAGAATACGTAGACCCTTACCTAAACAGCACTATAGGATATATAAGTCTTAGAATCTTAAGGTATAGATAGAATCGCCTTATTAGGAATATAAGAAGAGGATTCTAACGGTTTAGACGACGACAAAACACTATAAGGAAGGCTCGACTAGTCTCTAAGCCTTAAAGAGCTATTCCTCGAGGCTATAGCCCTATAAATCGACCTTAACAACTACCGTAACGGCACTCTTAATGCTAAAGGTCGTACTAAGGTGCTCGAGGTTATTAGTAGGCAAGCTAAGCGTCCGGTTACTTAGAGACAGTGCAAGACAAAGCTATACGCCTATAAGGTGCTATATACGGCCTTCGTAGCGCTCGAAGCCGAGTCTAGGTTTAGCATTGATCTAGAGACTAGTATTATTACTACGGACAGCTACGTATAGAATAATTATCTTACAAAGAAGACATATACTAATGCGAAGCCTCTAAGATACCGTCCTATACTATATACCGCCTTCTATAGGACACTCTTTAGCAATAAGACTGCTACTAGATAGGCTTCTAAGGGAGGTGCTATAACAGCTAAGAAGCGAGTTAATAAGAAGGTCGCTGCTTAGAAGCTACGCAAGAAGCTAAAGTCGCTATAACAATAACTATAGGTTATCGATAGCGACTCGGAGGCAGACAAAGAGAACAAATAGCTAGATACTACGGACTCTGTTTCCAAGGATAGCTCTTTAAACAAGGACTCTTTAAACAAGGACTCTTCAAACAAGGGCTCTTTAAATAAGGATAAGCTAATAGCAACACTACGCGCTCCTATTATGCCTTAGGTCTCGGACTCTACTAACAAGGGCAACCGCAGCGGTGCAGTGCGCCTTACTAATGCTATTCGAGAGGGTTGCCTTGCTATAATACCTAATATTCTAGTTAAGTTGGCGATTAATAAGCTTAACGACTATAACCTGTCTTACGAGCTATACAGAGTGTGCAGCAAGGCCTTCTATAACGACGATTACGGCCTCTTCGAGTCTCGTGTATTTAACGGTAGAACACTAAGATATAGGCGCGAGTAGATAAGGAAGTAGGCTTACGAGAACGATATCGAAGAAGATATTAAGAGCGACTGCGAGTAAGCGAGTTAAGTCGATTAGGCTACTTTCTAGCAAATGGCGCTAACAATAGTGTCTAATACGATAACGACGAGATTAAGATAGCTTTTCTAGCGGAAGACCGGGTTTAGCTTTTAATACTACTAACTATCTACTATTTAACACTAGGTCTAGATATATATACAAAATTTACAGGTCTTTAAGAATATATATACGACATACTCCGTACTAATTTCTATATGCTTCTAACTAGTAGTTATAATGTTCTACTGCTATATAGGTCTCTAAAATTCATTGTACGTCTCCGGCTTAGCGGTCGGCTTAGAAGCCGAGCCTCGGCTTCTAGGCTAGCAAGCTCCGAGATAGTGTCGGTTGTATTGCTACTAAATTCCAATCTACCGCTTATAGTATATTACACTACTAAGACGACATTTATACTACAACTTTGTATAATAGCGGAAGATCTACTTATTGCCGCCTACAACCTCGTTAAAAAATTATCTAAATCGGTCTAGAACCGAGCTTAGTCGAGCCCTACGAAGGTAGCACTAAACTAAGTGAGAATGTAGGTCGATATAATTTCTAAGGGAAGCTATAATCGACCGAGATACGTCGATTACAGCACTTTCTAGCAAACGGCGCTAACAAAAGTAATTAACACGATAACGACGAGGTATTAAGGCATCCATTTTATCTCTTACTATTAATAATGCCCTTCCTTTAGATAGGCTTATTACGCTCTGCCTTCTCGAGTTTATAGTCTTACTATATGTCCTTCTACAGTCTACTTCTAAAGGCCGTTATACGCTTATTCTTAGCGTTTATAGTACTACTAAGTAAGCGCTTAGCCCTATGCCTATTACTTTGCTAGACTTCTACTTTATTGAGTGCCTATTCTGCTTGCTAGCGAGCCTCTTCGTCGGCTATTAAGCTATCGCTTAGATTCTTAATTCTAATAAAGTTGTATAGCGCAACTAAAGCGTAGACAAGAGCGACCTGCGTGTCCTTATTAAATACAGGGCCCTTCGTATCTCGAAGGATCTTAAAGCGCTCCTTTAGTACGGCAAATACACGCTCGACAACGTTGCGTAGGCTCGAATGCCGTAGATTAAATAACTCCTCGCTATTAGCTAGTATTCTATTACCTACTCCCTATTCTTTTAAGTAATACCGGAAGCCTCTAAATAGTGTAAGGGTCAACCGAGTACTTAGATAGCTAGTATTAGCAAGATAATACTTATACTATAGACAGTTGGCTCTAAAGCCTTTATTCTCTCGAGCGTATAGTAATATACGACTATCGTTTACAAAGCCCTCCTATCTAGCAAGTACGTAAGTAAATAGCATATTAAAGTCTACTACTACTAATATATTCTAAGATATAGTGCCCTTCCTATTCCGCTATAGAGCCTGCTTATTACGAGCAATGTAAGCGAGTACGTAGCTTCCGTCGAGGGCACCTATACAGTCCTTAAACTAGGGGTAGAATTTGCCTATGCCTCGCCTATTTATCTCGCTTATTATCTTAGAAGGGACGGTGTTATAATCCGGCTCTTTAACTACATTATTATATAGCTCTAATAGCGCTGCAAGGACAGCGTAGAAGGACTTATAGACCGTATCCTTAGACCTGTTAAATACTAGGTCTATCTAGCGGAAGCCTATTAATAAGCTAACAACTATAAGGAAGTATATTAACCTCTCTATAGCGGTTAGCTATTTAGTTAACCTAAAGCTACGCTCTACTAAAGTATCTAAGAGGGCATAGAATATAGGTTTATCGATACGGCAATTCTTATAGAGCTTCGTCTCGTCTTCTAGTAGCTCGACTGTCTTTTTATAACTATCGTCGCTATATATATAGGGTCGGATATCGAGGTATTCGTCGAAGTATTAGGCGGCTGCTATATAGGCAACGATAGCAGCTGTACGTTACTAGGCTAAAGTCGACATTCGGAGGTCCGGTTAAGCTTAATATACTACGGACTACGGTTAAATTAAAGGAGGTGCTAAGGATACTATTAACTATAAAGCGATAGCGAGTTCGAGCTATATTATAGGTTAAACAAGGGTATTATACGGCGGTAAGACACCAAAATACACCTAAAGTCGTATAGCTCGAAATTTAGCTAGCTAGCGCTAAGCCTGTATATAAACTACGACTAAAGGCCGATATATACCTATATAATAGTAACTGCAGGTTTAAATAATATATTTACTTGCTAACTAAAGGGCATATCACTAATCTTGTTCGGTTCAACCTATAGAGGGTGTATTATTGCTATACCTGTTCGGTTTAACCTACAGTGTAGTGTATTTCCACCTTCACTGCCAGGTGCAGGTGCAACCGAACAGCTCCTTAGAATACTGGTGCTGGTGGCTGGAGCTCGGCTCAGGAACAAGGATGAGCTGCTTCTATCCGACGTCACCAAACGTCACCATACAAAGCCATCGCCGTAACGTATGCATTCGTGGTGGGCGATGAGACGATCTGTAGGAATTGAACAGAAGCGTAGGTAAACACAGTCGCAGACCACCTGAGATTACATCAACTAGTCCACCATCAACAGCAAAACAAGAAGCAACACAACCACGGTCCACCATGTCTCAAGGCGAAAAAGCAGCAGAGAACGTCAAGTCCGGCATCAAAGGCGTCGTCGGCGCGACAGAAGACATTCGCAAGAACATAAACTCCTTCGCCGACGACCTGCTGGGAAGCAATCACGAATCCACCGGCATTCATCCCCACGCAAAGCAGGCAGGCGGCGAGGCTGAGGCAGCGACCGAGAAGGCAGCAGAGAAGCTCAGCTCGCATCATGGAGGACAGACTGTTGGAGGCAGCGATCCAGTCGCTGGAACGACAACAACAGGCGGAGCGACGACTACAGGCATCCATACCGATAGCCACGCGACGGGAGCACCTGTGACTGACGAGCATCCCACGAAACCGACGAGTGGAATGGGCACGCAGTAGATGTCATCGTCGCACTAGACATGAGAGTGAGAACATGAGATACCCAATGCAGATTGGACTGTACCAATGAAGCTTCCTACACATCTACAAGTCCTTCATCGGCGTACTCTCATTCTCCTGCCCTTTATCCCCATGTACCCTCACCGGCTCCTTCGCAGCATTCTTATCCTTCTCAAAATACTTCACCTCCTCAGCATCCATGACCTTCACAACATTATCGGCCTGCCACTTCTTGAACCCAAATCCAACACCCTCATGCGAATAGTCCTTATCATTCGCCTGATCCTTATGATACTTCACCCTCACAAATCCCGCCTCCTCACTCCCCGGCTCCAAACTCAAACTCACAAGCGCATTAATCGTAGCGGTCTTGGGGATGAGTTTGAAAGTCCAGGACTGTTCGTTCTTGAACTGGATCAAATCCTCTTCGTTCTTGATGATTTCGTAGCCTTCGTTCTTGGATTCTTTGAAGAATTTTGGCAAAGCGAACCATTGACCTGCCATTTTGTAGCGGTCGTTGGCGTAGACGAATTGGTCGTCGTAGACGCAGTCGGGCGTGTAGCGTTCAACGCGTTTGATTGTGGGTTCGCATGAGTAGAGGGCTATGATGTCGTCGATTAAGGCTTGACGCGCTGGACTCAGCTTGATGCGGTTTGCTGGGCTCGGGTGCATGTCTTCGCTTGTGCTTTGTTGCCGCACTTCAAACTGTTCTCCTGGAGCAGTAGCCCCTGTGGAGGAAGCGGCTGCAGTGGAAGACATTGTTCCTGTGGCGGATACTGGTCGGGACAAGTTGTCTTCAACACGTTTTGGGTGCTGCTGGGTCATATTAATAGGACTGACAGTGTCTGTAATGAAGAAAGTGGAGACGTTGTTGCACTTAGCTATGTGTACGCATCAGACGCGCTTACGATGGCGCATCCAGCCACATGTAGTCGTTGTGACGTGAAGACTCGTCGCGAGACGTGGTGCCGCTCTTTGTTTCGCGCGCGCGTCGGATGTGTGTGTATGAGTGCAGGTTCCATGACGTTTCGTGACGATGCAGACGGCTTCACAGATCTGCCAAGGCCGAAACTGTTGACTTCACTTGCTTCTTGGTAGCTTCTCCTTGAGACTAACGAATATGCAGTCGCTTCACCTACTCATAACTTAATCTCGCTGGCTTCATTATCCTTCGAGATGCGATTTTCCCGAACATCACTTGCCAGGTCATCAGTGGATTTCTATCAGCATCGCTCTCGACCATGCTGTTTCGACCGCCAATACGCGCACACCACTCCGGAAACCTCCTCGAAGTTATCCGCCGAGTCGAAGATGCTCCCAGAGCATGGCGCAGTTTCAGGACCTGCGACTAGCACGGAGGAAGGCATGGTATACTGTGCATATATCCGGATCAAGTCCCTACCGTGCGCGTGCGCTATCCTCCATAATGGGGTTTCGGATGACGGCCGCAGCAAGATATCAGCTTCTACGACCCTGAGGTGCACGGTTTGTCGTTGCTTCGACGAGAATCCAGCAGAAGTGTCTTGCTTGTGCGAACATTTGAATCTTCTCTAGGCTGTGCGGGCTGGCCTTATAGCCCGCGGACGCTGACTTGACTTCCTTAATGCCTATCAGGTTCTGAGCTGTTCGCTTGGGCCTGGAGAGATTGGTAAAGGTCTCGTACTTCTGAAAAGAACCAAATACACATGTATTGGGGTGAGTATATGATCCTAAATCATAATGCTTGTTCACTATTGCCCATCTGCAGTCCCTCCGGCGATCATCCGTCTACTATCGGCGGCTCTTTTGTATGCGCTTCGGACGACCATAGCACGTCTACTCAGTCACACGCTATGGAAGTAGGCGAGACCCCTGGATCAACGGTTACATCATCGTATTTGACCAAATTTTGTGCATGTGGTGTAAGATTCGCAACACCCTTGCGGTCTTTCGTCACGGTGAAGAGACTGGTATAGCTAAAGCAAATGAAGGTCGGCAAACGCTATCAGTCGCACGGGAGTCTCAGCAACTTACTATGCCCTCGAGCAATTCCCACCATCATACGTCGTATCAATAGCACCAAGTACATGGTAAGTCTTCTGAGTACTTGTCTCAGAATCGACAGACGTGACATTTGGCCGATGATTCCAATGCTTGTTGCCTTTTGGTGGCAACAGTTTTTGCTTGAGAGCTACAATTTCATTGGCGCCGGTTGCGACCGAAGTGACGACTTTCAATACGCCGTCAGATGTGAAGAAGTCGGTGAAGCCTGTCGTTGCCTGAGGGTCTTCCGCCGATCTATAGAGTCTACGGCTATATGTCAGTAGTAGCAGGTTAGAAGCTTAGTGGATGACTGACTCCTTCAGGTAGGCTTGAAATCCACCTTCGACTCCAGACCTTGCCGAGTACCTGGACATATCGACGCAGTCTGCAAGGCCTGCAAGACAAGCGGCTACTGTGAGAGAAATGAAGTGCATGTTTCGGATCGCTAATTTCTTTAGGCCACTACGATTCACGAGCTGAATGTGAATCCGTACATCTCTTTATACAGTCTGTCCAAGCGAAGCTGACCCACGCATCCTGTTCTAGCAGCGATTAGCAAATGCCTGACCTGCTTAGAGGGCAGTATTCTGATTTGCTCAAAGCCCGTAAACATCGTGGCAACACGGACTGTATACCAGGTTGCGTTCGTATAGCATCTTCCGCCTGAAGGTTCTTAGCGACGGGTTCTGTACTGCGGGCTACCGTAGTGAGATCTACCTCACAGTTAGTCTAAGCGAAACTGAGTATTGACGGTAATTGACCTGCTTAAGGGGCAGTAAAGCCGCAGTATTGCCAGTATTTTGATTTTTTCAAAGTCTATAACACCGTAGCAAAACGTATCTAAGATCTTATACCAGGTCGTGTTGGTACTGGCAGCCCTAGTCAGTTTCGCTTACACTGACTATATAAATAGGTCCTTGAGGCTTGATCCTTGGCATAATCCGCTGCATCGCACCTGCCGCGCAGTGCGCGCACCCTTCGGTATATAAAGAAGACGGAATCCGTAGACCCGCGGTATATAGATCAGGACAGCGACTCGAGCGAAGCAGTAGCGGGCGCAATAACAATTAGCCTTGCCTTGATAGTTAGCCAGCGAAACTAACTGGCGCGTCCTATTCCAGTGGCGATTAGTAAAGACCTAGAAGCAACATGAATTTTCCTTCTCGTTTAGAGTAATAGTGCCGGGGTTATAGGAATCGGCTGCCAGGGTCTTGTGCAACTTCCTCTCTAGGCCGGCAAGCATTGTTGACAGCACATCGGATAGCGGCTTGGACTATCGCGTTTGCCTTTTCCGCCAAAGGCGACCTCTTTTCCGACTCTAGCCAAATCGGCTCATAATACGCAAATCTTCTCGGATGGCACGAAAGCTTCGTGGAGTATTCGTGTTTATTGGCGACTGACCTACTCGATAAATGCCCGTAGATGTCGGCAATGCTGAATATGTCGAGAATTGCATAGCTACCTCGTTCTGGTCAGCAATGATTATGGACATTGGGAACAAGTCACTGTTGTTCAAGCTCGAAGCCAAGTTGACCCAAGTCATCATAGAGCTTCTCCTTGCTGCGTGTAACTACGACGATTTTGGGTTTGAGATTTGGTGGCAGGGTCCAAATTTGCGGGTCTCTGGCCCTCTGCCAGACTTTCTCAAGCCATAATGCCAGATCGTTGCTCGTGCACACCAGGATCCAGCCTGGAAGATGAGCTCCGATTCCGAGGAAGCGAGCATATGAAGTAGCGGTGGGTGTGCGATAAAGGTAGTAAAGCGGATCTGCTCTTTCCAGTGCCCGCCGCCATGGCCGGAGTGTTTGGTTGGCCAGCCAAGCAGTGTCAAGTGTCGCAACTCCGACCTCGAAATACTTGGCACCCGCTCGTCTGCTAAAACAGTTATGATGATTGCAAGAAATATGACTTCCCTGCTCGAACGGTATGAAGGAACTTGTGCAACGTCGATGGGTATACTGTATTCGTCTGCTTCGAGTCTCATGAGCCTTAATGTATGGATTGATTGCAATGGCGTAATCTACGCTCGGGACCTTGATCACCGAGTCTCAATCCAAGACCTCGCTGTGTCAGAGCGAGCGCATAGCTCTGCGAGGCACTATCAGAGGCTTCAGCCATGATCCGGAGGCTCCATCAATAAGTCGCAATTGCGTGGCAATGATGGTGTGGATGCTTGTTGATGGATTCTCTCAAGAAGTAAATGCGCTGTATGTGAAGCTCTGGTCAATGCGTGGTCTCAATGCCTGCAAAGCTAGGTGGAGCTTAGCATGTGAGGTCTGCAGCTCGCGTAAGTGAGGCAACGAAAATGAGGGAGGAAAATTGAGCCGCGCCAGTGATACTCCGAATTGTTGGCTCAAAGCGTCACATACCACTTTGACACATTCACTTCTCTACCTTCAATCGGGGGGCCTCGGAGAATGATTAACTTCAGAAGTCGCCTGCACTGGAGTTTGTTTCTGCTGGTCTATAGTCCGCGATTGAATTCGATCAAACCTCCTTCCCCGCCTTGGTCCCAGAACTCCTTCTCCAAACTCGTGGCCTTCACAGCTTGTCTCTGGGGGAAAGCTGCCAGAGCAAGCGGAAGCGCAAACAGGCTGGTGGTCAGAATCAGGCCCAAATTGACCGGCAGGACCATCCGTGGCCGGGATTTGAGCCATGCAGTCTGCTGTAACCGCACGAGGACCAGTGGAGGAATGACCATGATAGGAGTCGCGTTGAGCACGCGCGAGATAGCTGTCTCTCCCACAGCAAGGGTGGCCGCCTTTTTGCTCTTACCGATGGGCTCCAAAGCTTTGCCTGCCTCTTCCCGCTTCTTCCTGGTCTCTTCTGACTCGCTTGGGAAAACTTCAATTCCTCTTCGAATCTCCTCGCCTCGCATGAGGAACACGTTCAGCACACCGGCACATGCGACTGCAGCGAATGGTACCAGTCTACCCAGCACCACCTTTGTGGAAGGACTGACTCGCTTCAACCTTGGCACGATGGAATTGAGACCAACCGCTACACCACAACTAGCTCCAACTGCTGTGAAGTAGGACTTCACAATCGTTGAAGTTGCCATTGGGGTGCTTTTGTTGGCGTTGGAAAAGTTGATGCCCACATTCAACGACTGATTTGCCACTTGCCAGGCGATCGTTCCCGTGTTTGTGAGATTCGGTGTGAGCATGCCAGCAGTTACTACCAGATTCGAGATGACGAAACAAGACATGCGGAAAGGGAGGAATACAGGTTCACCAGTATCTGTGCATGTCAGTCGATGCGGGATCTCGGGATAGGTAAGCACTCACCTGGATGAAGGGTAGCATCAACCACTTTCTTCGCTTGCCATAACTCCGGTGTCATGTGCTGCAATTTTCCTTGCTTGTATTGAGTGAGGAGTGACTTTGCTTGTTCCAGTGCGGTGCTTGATGTGAAGAGGGTTCTATTGAGGATTCCCGTCAGCAAATGTGTCGTGAATGCTCTGGTAGTCTGCACTCGAGCAATAACAACAAATCGGTGATACTGAACCTTTCGGATCATTTCAAAGAGGCCGATTCAATGCTTCACTATTGCCTCACCTCGGGTCTGCAATCTCGGCGGAGTGCTTGACTCTGCCCCAGTATGTATTGAGATCATGTCGCGATGCAGGCAAGTCTCTGCTGCCTGGCAGAGATGCAGACATGCTTGTTGTATTGGGTGCCGCCTGCGCTGCTGAGAGGAGCAGACGTCGAAGCGTGCAAGAGTCAGAAGAGAGTCGCTCGAGGTCGGTGAAGTTGTTGTTTGACCGCAATGTCGGCAATCGTTTCCGAAAAAGCTTGGCGAAAAGTCTAGATAAGGTTCGCTTTCATTTCTCCCTCGCCTTTGCACAGCAACAACAGCGCCAGCAACGAACAATTCGGGACAGTGACTGAGGCTACGCGAATGCATTGATTGCTATGGAAAGGTAGGCTCCATGCTTGGCTCTACTGCAGCCTAGCAAATGTCTCTCACCGCGCTCGGTCTTGCGTCTTCCGTCACAGATCTTGAGCTGGATACCTGAATATCACATATTCAGCGTAACGAGACGACATCGAACATCGGCGGTCTTTGAGTACGGGCAAGGCTTGCGCTACCCATAGCCTTACCTCGTAATTTACCAGTCGAGACAGGCACAAGAACTTTCACACCACAACAATTCAGTCTCTTCAGTTCGCAGCCATAATACATCACGTGCCACCAGTTTCATAAAATACACAAGTCGCACTCGCTGGGTATTTTGTCGTTCATCATCCGGGACGCCGATGCTAAATTCAATATCATATCTTTGCAAGCAAATCATCCAGGCGTCCCTCGCTCGATTTCTCGTCTTTTGGCTTCCCGAAAGTCCTGGCTACCTAGTTGGTTGGTCTTCGGACTTCTCTCCACACGCCATCCCATGGCTGTAAGTCATTCGAACACTGCCGCCCTATGCCTTGTGGGGCATATGCTGTTATAGGAGTCACAGAAGCTGAGCTCGGCGCATAGTAACCCTGCGCCGGTGCTTCTTCCTCCTCTCTACCTTGCCAGTCTATTCGGAACGTAGATGCAGTCGGATCCGGTGTCGATATATCATGGTCGTTCTGCAACAAAAGCATCAACATTTGCTGCCGTTGCATTTCCTCTTCGGTAATCGAGTCCGAGTCATATGTCGATTGCTGTGCCGTTTGTGCTGGTTGCACATGCGTGCTAGTATACGCGGATGGGAACATATTTCGATTGTAGTTCTGATAGTACGCTGTGCCCTGTCCGTGCCATAATGATGACTCGCTATCTTGCTGAATCCTAGTCATGGGCACTGGAAGAGTTGGTCGCTTGGCTTTGACCGAGTTCACCTTGCGCTGAGCCCGTAGCAAGAGCCCTCCGTACACTATTGTGGTGAGTGCAGCAGCGATGGTAACTAGCAGCGCCGGCGTATTCCATTCATATCGATTGAAAACCAGGAAATTGTAAAAGATTGTCAACAGCCCCAGGGCGCAAGATGTCAACGACGGAAGGAAGACGGTCTCTGCTTGGAACAAAGGATTCCGGACGGCGAAGCACACGAGACCAGTGAACGAGAATCCGGCGGTCAGTAGTGCGACTGCAAATATCCCTACTACGGCTTGACCGATTCGAAGGTCTTTCTTAGCTTGTTTCTCGAACGTTACAGGCAGCATCAAGAAGCTATTCATCTGTCAGCGCTTTGCCCTCCTTCTACGCATTCCACGAATGTCTGCTTACCCTCCTAATATCATGAATGATGAGCCGATGGCCACCAGTCTCCAGTACCATGCAACCGCATCACGATCCGCTGTCAACCCGTCGACGGTATGACAGCTCTGCGCTCGCGACCGCTGTGGCACGCGCAGACGACGCCTGATCGCATCCAGCGTCGCGGCTTTCGCTTCTCCTCCTCCTCCTGTCTTAGGCGGCCTGCTCTGGTGCTCCTGTTCCCCCAACATCCAGCTTCGGCCCCGTTATGATATGGCTGCGATAGCTGCGATAGAATACTGCTCTTGTGCCACTCCTCACCAGCCACAATCCACTTTGATCCGTCGATCCGTCGCTTTGGGCCTGAAACCTCCAGATCTCCTCTTCTTGCTTCTTGCGACGACGCAAAGACGCGAAGCGATGGTGGGTATTCCTCCTACAACGACAGAGATCTTTCGTGCTACGGTGTTCTCGACTGCTGGTCAGCACGGAGCTCTGGTGGCCCTAGTCAACGGACAATTTCCGAGGGGCCAGGATGCGCGTTCAACCCCGCCGTCGCCGTAACTCCAGATATCGCAGTCTGCTAACACAACAACGCGAGGTGGGCAGGAGCCATGCGCCGGTCTCGAAGCGGGCAGGTTACACAATGGAAGATGATCTGGGATACGAGGGGGACGATAGGCGCGGTTGGCGCTGAAGGCTGCTATGATGCTGCATAGCCACAGAGCCACGCTGATGCTGATGCTGATGCGTACCACAAGCTCAAGTCGTCCGACCCGTGTAGCCCGTCGATCTTTACACAGCACAGCAGACCCTCTGGTTCCTCCGCGAAGGAGTCCTACTGCATCCAGAAGCCGCTAGACAAATGTGCAGTGCTGTCGCTCCTCGGACGAAGGTTGCTGCTGTAGATGTAACATCGCCAAGCTCGAAGCAGTGATACGCACGTATCACCACACAAGAGAGCTTTCTGGTACTGGTACTGCAGAAGACGACCAGGACAGGAACAGGTCGAAGTCAACGGAGATTGATGATAGTTGGCCAATTACATCGACCACGATTACACAGCGAACAAACATCACCGACAGGATAGCAGCCGCGCTGGATGGGACAAAATGAGCTCACAGTCCGCTTCAAAGACCTATAAGACACACCATCGGCTGCCTGCTGCATCGCCTTTGGCATCAATATCCCGACCCCTCCATGTTGTGGATAGAGAGAGCGTGGAATGGCACGCAGCAACTTGACACATCAACTAGGACGAAACCCATAACCTACCATCTTTGCTAGAGGCAGAATTGAATCGGTGCACTTCTATAGCTGAATCGCGCCAAGTTGCACTCTGTGCAAACTGGACACGAGCCCGAGCGGACCGGATCGGACAACGACAAGGATCACATATTCAACGTCGATCGCTATGGCAAGGACCTATGAATCCCTCGCTTACGTCCCTTAGGGAAAGGAGAAATCTGATGAAGCGTTAAGCTCGACACAGTGCCGCCTTCGTTTCATCGCATATCTGTCTAATCGTACAAGACAACAAGTGAGCCTAAGAATGCACCTACATCATGAGCAAGAAATGGGTATCTTCCGCCAACGCCTTTCCCTCGAGACTATCGTGCTCTGCTATATCCCATCGCGTAATCACCAGATGCCAAAGCTCTACGCAAAGGTTCGTACTCGAGGAGCGGTCTTTCGTGTCGGCAAGCTCCACCACGGTTCCGTCGATCATAGCCGCGTGACTTCCGGCGTTTCGGTTCTGGATCCGGCTCTTCTTCCTCTTCCCCTTCCTCTTTCTTCTTCTTGTCGCCAATGTATCTACCGCGATCATCTTGATGACCGCTCCCTCGAGCTGTGTTTATTACAGCATTGGTAGAACGCTCTACGGCATTGGCACTCCTGATAGAGCCCTTCGCGGCCATCGTCGACGCGTTAGCTGCCTTGGTGCTCGCCCTTGCGGCGAAACTGGTTGGGACGAGAGCAGCAACACTGGCCACACTGGCTACAGTGGCCCACACAGATTTCTTCTTATACCATGGCTTGTCGATCTTTTCCATGGGCTCTTCTTCGTCAGTGATAGAGCCCCCTCGAGATCCGCCACGAGAACTTCCATGTCGACTCCGCCGTGGTGAGGGGGACCGGGAATCATCTGATGAGTACCGTCTTCGTCGTCTTGGGGATGGAGATCTCGAGTAATCCGAGTAATTTCGTCTTCTGCGTTGATGACGACTGCGGTGCCTGGGAGAAGGAGAGCGAGACGACGATGATCTCTGAGATGAAGGTGCTCTGCTCATTGAGTGCCCATTGTTGCGTTCCATAGACTCTTGGTCATAGTTACGATATTGTGGGTGTCGTGAGTACGGTGACAGTGGCTCGTCAAACCTTTGATATGGTGTTGATGCTGATCGTGGTGGCGCATCAGCCATTCGGGACATCGCTACAAAATCGCAGACAGATTTGTCAATGATGTAACGCTATGCAGCAATTGCACGATATGTAAGACAAGTGAAGAAGGTCGCAGTTCTGTGCGAGACCACACCAGGTTGGCGAGCAAAGCCTAAAAGTGTTTCGAAATGAGTCTGGTCCTGTGTCGCGTCATTTGAGTTCAAAACCAACATCCTTGTCCTCACGAACCCTTGCCCATACCGTTTGTGGCAGGAAGATAGCAAAACCTGGCTGTAGATATTATGCCACGCCGCTGCCCAATCCAGTGGGTGGCCCATACATTCGTATTCTGCACGATCTGGCCTGCGCGGAAGTGATATGCTTTCTCAACATTTGAGATATGGGGATACTTGTCGCGATCGAAGGGCCAGCCACTTCGCTGCGCGTACAAATCCTTTGAGCTCAGCGATAGTAAGATGAGAACATGTTTCCAGTGTGACTGTCCATGGTACGACCACGGCTGCGATGCGGATGCGCGAATCAAGGACAACTTGCTTCGGTGCTCTAAGGATTTTCAAAGCGGAGGCACGTTCTGCAATTGGAAGCCTTACTGGGATGATGTTCTTTCTGACTGGTATCGGGTGCGCCCAGGCCGTTCCAAGTGTATTCGATGTTGCGAATGCATTAAATGAAGGAAGCAAATGCTTCACCCGAAGGACAGAGATCCCGGAAAGGTGATGACGAGCCTACAGCCCGGAATCTGGGACAGCTGGTGGTTTCTGCCTACGCACTTCGGTCATCGTATTCAACCCGGTGCACCTACAGTGCCACGTTCCTCCGCTTGTGATCCTCATCTTCGGGTCTTTATTACATCATCGGTATGCTACTCTTGAAGAACCGGCTTCCCGCAGCGTTCGCTACATATATGCTGGCAGTTTGCATGTGGGATTGGGCATCGAATCCGAATGGTGGGCGGTATCGAGACAATTTGGCGCTGTGTCGATCGAAATTGTAGATCGCGAGCTCCAGCCAGCCGGCTATCCTGGACTCTAAACCGAGCCCCAGCTAGCCGCCCGAGCCCCAGCATAACCCGAGATTACGAGATCGCCTGTTCTATACAAAATCGCGTGTAGAAGCGATAATCGCGTCGCTGCAGGCCCCGCCAACCGGGCAACCACCACCATACTGTTGCCAGCAGCCATGAAGCCAAAGTTTGTTAGCAAATCAGTGGTATAGCACAATTCAAGGTGTTGTTGGTTGTTAAGGCAAGTGCGTGTGCTCTATCTACTCAGGTCCAAGCGGGTTACGACCTGCCGCCTTATAACCACGCGAGGCTATATATGCTGGCTCATACTGGTCTCTTAGTTGCTGACTAGCATGCTGTTGCTGAGTGAACTGATGGTGCTGTTGCTGAGTGAACTGATGGTGCTGTTGCTGTAGCACGTTATAGTGTAAAGGGCTCATTGTCTGTCGTACTGGCTGTGTGAGCGATAACTGCTGGCGGTGGTGTTGTTGCCAAGCAGCCTCTCGTCGTTGTTGCTTATAGAATGCCGCCTGTTGGCGGTTGTATTCAGCCTGTTGTCTGGCCTGCTGTTCTTCTGACTGTAGACGATGGTTCTCACGTGCTCGGAGGTCCTCAATCTCTCGGCGAAGTAGATCCAGCTCAGAAGGTGTCTCAGAAGGTGGCTCCGGAGCGGCGGCTGGAAGTGATAATGAAGGCTCAACTCGTAGATTAAAACACTCGAAGCCTCTTAGATGGCAAGCAGAGCTACACGGTCGATTAGCCTTCTGGCAAGGGCACTGTTGAGTGCGGCATTGGCTCTTTACGCACTTACAGTGCTCAGCAACCGTAGTACGAAGTTGTGTAAGAGACACGCCTAGTTCTAAGGCAAAGTCGACTGTTCTAGCCGTTATTGTCTTCCGCTTCTTAGTTACTGTAACCTCATTCAAGTCGTCCAATTCTCGAGCCGTTGCTATACGCTTTGTTGTATACAATGTAGCTCCGCTAGTGAGAGGTTTGCGGTTGCTATAGATCACTTCCGGTTCTCGTAGAGTAAAGGTTCTACGGAAGTCGATCAACCAGTGCTTATAGAAGTGGCTCGGCAATAGCACAGCGCGGCTTCTACCTGTTTCGAGAAGCTTCATAATGTCGTGTTTGCAAGGATAACCATGCGTCTTGCTAAGGTAATCGTTACAGCGGCATTGTAGACAGGAGCACGAGTACGCCGAGTGCTTAATCTCGTTGCCGTCGTCGTTAGTTGTGGTCCGCAGGAGGTCGATAGCGCGTTGGTATAGAACCTTGACCTCGAGAAGGCAGTAATCGCTTACAACTCGAGAAACGCTCGCCTAAAATGGTCTAGTAAGTGCCTTGTTACACCTCTTCAGGTTCTCAGCAAGGCGGACACGACGGCGATCATGCCCTTCGCTCCACTAGTTAAGAAGGCTCTCAAATAAGGTGAAGATATCGTGGCGGCTGCTATGGTTAAGCCATTGTTTGATACGGCCGTGGGTGGCTTCAACTCGCGAGGTTGTCTTACAGCCAAAGTGTAGCACTTCGTTGGTCCAGCAGTCGATAATATAAGTCTTATAGCACTACTAGTTGTTGTTGAGATAGGCCTTGAATATAGGATAGACGTTGTCCAGTTTCCGAGCGTTCTCGTTAAACTCGGCTTCAGTTTAACTATGAACAGTGTGAGTGAACAACCGTAGAAACTTGCTAGTTTAAGGACTGTCAGTCCAAGAGCCATCGGTGCCCTTCACCTGACCAAATTCGCTACGCTCCTTCCGGACACGAGTTAATATATCTTGCTATAGATGCTAGTCGCAGACGATATTTAATAAGCCTGGATAGACCTCTTTGATCGCTAGCATTAAGGCGACTTCTCGATCAGTGCTAATAACGAGAGGCAGCGGACAACCAGCCTGTTCAAGACCCTTCCGCAGTGACTATAACAAAGTAGTAAAGTCGGCTTGATCAGGCTTCGGTCGAATAAGGCCAACGCCGAGCTCAATCGTGTCATTTATCGGTCCAGCAGCGACGATATCTAGAAGCTCGAGGTTATAGATATTGGTTGAATACGTCGTGTCAATAATGAGTGTGTGTGGCGTATTCTTAAAGGCCTCGAGTGACTTAGGGTAGAGCGCAACTATACTTCGAATAGCACCGTTCTCGGGGTTCTCGTGAATGTCGTGGAATATGCCGTTCTCATCCAATAACTTAACTATCCGCGCGGCCTAGTTCATTTCTTGTCGTGCGTTGATATTGCGAGTCCAGGCTACATTATACAAGTCCTATAGTTTGAGAATAACACTACGGTTGCGGAAGTATGCTATAATCTTCGAGGTTGGCATTCGCGCTTGCTAAAGTCGCTCTAGTTGCTCGAGGAACTGAGCCGATCTCGACTGTCTCCTATACGTAGCAAGAGCGATAATATCGTCTTTCTCATAGTTATGAGAACAGTAATCTTCCTTAGTAGAATGGCGGATAACCTATTGGCCTTCTGGTTGCGCTGGATCGACAGCAACGGCGTAGAAATAGAACCTACAGCCTATCTTCTTCGAAGTCGACTTCCGCTTTATCACTTCCTCATCCTTCTACGTACGCTTATCAGGCGCGCCGAAGCAACCACAGACCCACCGATGGCGATATTTGATGCCCTTCTTGTTCTTCTGTGGCTTGTACTGCTTGAACTCGTATCCAGTCGACTTTCCGAAGGCATGTACGTATTCGACGAGGGCGTGGTGCGATGGAAACTGAGACTCGCGAGGCATAGGCCCACGACGCCATTTCTTCGAGAATGGGTGCTTCTGAGGGCGTGGTGACACTGATCGATAGTCAGGAAGCGATACACGCTCTCGAGGCACGCTTAGTGAGCGACTGCGACCTCGAATACGCGTCTCCGAGACAAATTGGACCTCTTCCTGCGACTCAACATCCACCGCCGTCGATTGCGCGCCGTCTATCACTATTTCTACCTCTTCCTGCGACTCAACATCCACCGCCGCTGATAGCGCGCCTTCAACACCTTTAACACCTTCAACACCTTCAACACCTTTAACACCTTCAACACCTTCCACCGCCGAGAGCGCGCCTTCTTCCACCGCCGAGAGCGCGCCTTCTTCCACCGCCGAGAGCGCGCCTTCCACCGCCTCCGCCGCGCCGCCGGCGATAAGATCATCGAGAAACTCTTCGTATAATGGAGATTCAGCCATTTTCGATAGTTACTAGGCAATCTACTGCAAAAGAGGGAAGAAAGGGGAATTTTAGGTCTACGGTGGATTTCGAGGTGCGGCTTCCTAGGTGACGCGCTGCGCGCCCTGCCGCGCCTATCAACAACACCAACTAAGAACGGAAATAGCCTGTATTGGGTGGAAAGAGCACGTAATTCTATACAAGGCGATTCCACAATGGTGCTAGCATCGGGTTATGCTGGGGCTCGGGCGGCTAGCTGGGGCTCGGTTTAGAGTCCAGGGCCGGCTATTGCTCATCGGGCGGCAGACGTGGCTGGCGTGGTCTTGACATGAAGGTATCTTGCTAACCTGCTCAAGAAAGAGGCCGCAGCCCAGAAGGGCTTGGCGCCAAGTTACCGCGCACTCCAACTGCCCTCTGCTTCAGGTCCCATCTTCAATCCAGCTTCCATATGCCGCGCTACCACTATTCTCCATGCCTGCGTGCCCACTATGGTCAATAACATGTACTGCTCAGCGGGGGGCCGTGGAACACTGAGACTCGAGCGCTGTATCAACATCACGACCTTGAAAACGATCCTGCCCAGTCCGAGCCGTTGACGAACGTTTTCACTCTGCCAAGTCAAAAACACTCTGCTCTCGGCAGTATCTGAGGATAATAAGAAGCGAAGGCTACACTCCACCTTCATAGTACATCCCTTACGGAGCGTAAAAACTGGTAGATGAATGCGAGATAACATTTTCACAAAAGCACAATGACCGAACCCCATGGGGAAGGCACAGTCAGCTCTGTCAAGGCCATGGACTTGCCTCTGCTTGAGAGGCAGGCCTGAGGTAGGAGCAGGAGGAGCTTTGTTGACTCCTCTCTGATGCTGTGACATTGTCCGTCACCAAACATCCCAGGATATCCATCACAACCAATAGCAGATATGGAAGAAAAGACCGACGAACAGTGCATCGAGGACCTCATGGCGTGAGTTTAGTTGCTTACGGGCTATTGCACGATCGCTAAACAGTCATAGGGCTCTCTCGATGGCAGAAGAGCCTGGAGATACAATTGAGATACAGCCTGAAGATGACAACGGCAGAAAGTATCATGTCGACAAGACTTTGTTACGCACGGCGTCGCCACAGTTCGCTGACGCTCTCACCAAGGCTTTGCAGGAGCCCTCAAATCGCATTCTGCTGTTTCCAGGTACAAAAATGGTCGTGATCGAGTATTTCTTCCACTGGCTGCATCACGGAAAGCTACCATACAGTCATGATGAAGAAAAGAAGCTCTCCTCGACAAAAAGCTTCGGTAATCATCAAAGGACAGCAGTCTCACTCTGGCTTTTCGCCGACGCTTATCGTATGCCTAAGCTGCAGAACCTAGCCATAAGATACTACGATTGGGCCAGCAATTACGCGCCACCTCCTCTAGACGTCGTTGAAGAGGCTTTCGAAATCGGCGACGCTAAGTGCCAGATACGAGATATCATCATCCGCGATGTACAAAATACTTTCGACCATCTCTCTGATAGAACTCGGACTCCTTGGAAACGATTCCCGGAGAGCCCTGATGTCACCGTATACTCGACATCGACTGATTGGGAAATTTCACTCCTTATGAAGCGATTGATCACAGAACACGACTCGAAGCCATTTCGACCTGAAGACCTGTGCGTCGATAAATACTTGGTGAAGGAAGAAGCCGCGAGTGAGAAACAAATCAGACATCTCACATTCAAGTCGGACTGCCCCCCTCAATGAGATCTGGCTGCGGCAGTTGGGCCGAATGTACGTGTCATTGCGTGGATGAGACACGGTGGTAGGGACAATTGAGAAGCACATCATTGCTATTGGAGTGGTATTCGTTGAGTTACACGTAGACTGGAAAAGTCTAGACAGCTTTCACTTTGACGACCAGCTCCTTCGTAGAAGCGGAACGAGAGGGCGTTTCTGTACTCATCAATCACTACGTCTGTTACCGACTCTTTCCGCGCTAGACGATCTCGCGACCACACCGCGTCCCACATAAGTGAGTAAACTGCCGTCATTCCGGCAGCATAGCCAAAGACATGAGCCACAATCCCTTGCCAACCCGTACTGGATTGATCCATTCGTAGACGTAGAAGTCTTCCGTTGCTTTTCTCAAGTATGCCGATTCAAGATATCATGTCAAGGTGAGGAGAACAACAAGTAAGCGCGGTGCGAATGGCGGTGGACGCGCGATGCCGAACACCATCTCAAGGATCTCAAATCCCTATAAGTTGTTCAGACTATGCACAAAGATATTGATGCATTGCGTGAAGCGACTATGTTATGTGTTGGCCAAGGCGATCCATACATCATGCACCAGAACACGATGCTGAATAGAAACGGGTACGTTGTAATTGTGGTATACCACAGCGTATGCAGCAGCGGCAACGATCGCGGCAAGGAGTCGTGCAGAGATTGGAGCTGCAGCTTTTGGGTTGCTGTCCCCTTTCTTTGGCGATGTGTGTTTGTCTGAACCTTAGCCTGAGTGTCGCGAGGAGGTGGCTTTGTTCATATGGTCAAGCTGGCTGTCTCGTGCTGTCCTTGTGGCCATGCCTACCTGTTTGAACGCGGCATTCATGGCGTTGCAACCAAAGCCATTTTTGGGTCGACAATTGCGTTGATCCTCGCCGCACTGTTGGAAGTGTCAGTGTATGAGGGGAAGAAAGGGAGGCCGGGTCAAGGTGAAGTCAAAGTGTGGATGACCGGCCCGATTGCCGATGCTTTGCTTGGCCCTTGATCCTTAAGCAAGCAGAGCTGTCCAGAGCTGTTTGCTCCCGAACGTACACAGTTTCACCATGGCTTCCGATCCTGTCATACCAGAGCCGCCGCGAGCACTAGAGGAAATTGCAATCATCGACAACTCGTTGTCGTTCCCAAGTTTCACTTCTCATACAGCTTGGGAGGTGGGTTCACGCCTGCGAAATCGCTTGTTGGCATTCTCGAAACCAGCCGTGATAGACATCAGCCTAGCTCATGGGCACCATTGCCTTTTTCACGCGACTACGCACTCAGGGACCTCGCCTGACAATGACAGCTGGGTAGCTCGAAAACGGAACACGGTCTTGCGATTTGGATCGTCCACTTGGTACATGCACAACAAGTTCAAAGGAGACGAGGCTCAATTTGCATCCAAATTTGCTTTAGGGACGAAGGCGAGCGAATATGCAGTCCACGGAGGAGGCTGGCCAGTTCGCGTGCAGGGTGTTGAAGGTATAGTGGCTGTCATTGTGGTGAGCGGCCTCAGGCAAGAGCAGGATCATGGCATTATTGTACAAACCGTACGAGAATTTCTTGACGAGCTGGGCATCGAGATGGGCGAGAAGAAGAAGGAAGACTGAGAACAGCTGTGTCAGGCTCTGACATAGTGTGTTCAGCAATGCGGAGACCAGATCCGACATATCACACAATGGGCAATCCTACTGCGTCTTGGAAGCTACATGGAAGCATTAGAGCGAGGCGTCTCAGATCGCTACAAGTCTCATCGCCACACTTTCGAATCGAAGGTATGAATGATGAAATACCGCATAATTCTTGACAGAAATCACGACTCATGCCACATGCATCAAGGCTGGAAATGATGTTGTTTGAATGTCGAATCTGCGACGGGTCAGGGTCATGACTCGGCCAGCACTGAGTCGATTCAATGTCCATTGTCCTGGGTCCATACAGCAATTCTTGTATGTCAGGAAATTTAGCGTACCACTGTTTGCAACAGTGGTTTACTTCCGAAGGGCGTTATCTACTGACTTGGTATAGTCTGCCTAGTAATCGACGGTGCTTTTCCTATTCTGGTACCGTGTTAACCTTCTCCGTTACGCGAGCCTATCCCCACACAGCACCCGGTCAAATCGTCAAACTTCATCTAGGGCAAGTCTCGAACCGGGTCTCAAACGCTGGCTCATCATGACCCGGAAGAGTTTGCAGGTCCGTTTGGGGTGTGCCATTTAAAGCATACAACCCCCCGGAATACACCAAAGGCCATCGATCTGTTAGACTTGATCCGCATACCTTCGCCATTCCTTCGTCCATTATGCCAATCGTTCAATCGTTTCTCACTGTCTTGCTAGCATTCATCGCGTATGTAGCAGCACGAAGTCATGGCGAGCACTCACAGTCTCCCGAGAAGAGAGCTTTGCCAGCCTACGCACAGCGAAACCTCGAAACGATCCAGAAGATTTACAACATCACAGTATACCCCAACAACATCCAAATCGTAAACGAAGGGGCAAAAGCAGTGCCTGCTGGCCTTTTCAACGAGAAGGCCACAGGCAGAGTAAATCCAGTCGGCAACTTTTCGGGATTTGATGATTCGATCGAATACTTCTTCGCCCTAGCTCCAGTACCACAGGAGGAGCAAGGCTTGGCCTTCTACAAGGCTGAGGTGGTAGAATTTACCAGCGGCTGTCCTGAGGTTGCTACGTCCCTGGTCTATCTGCGCACGGGTCATGTTGATCCTAAGACTGGGAAGCTTGACGATAGCAAGCCAAAGACGACACTGGCGCAGGTGAGTGACAGACGTTGTCAGACTTGGTGTGTTTGGAGAAATGCTGATGGAGTAGGTCGCCTTCTGGCGCTTCGACGACCAAGGGAGAGTCCTAAAGTATCATGCGTGGATTCCCAATCTCGAGAAATGGACTCGCGTAGCTATCGGACAGGACTTCACGAGCCTTCTTACACAGAAAGTCACATCGGCGGTGTTGTGCCCAACCATCCAGAAGCAATGTTCAGGCAAGAACAAGCAATACGACAATACTCTTACTTGCATTGCAAAGTTGGAGACGAAGCCTTTTGGTAGTTTCGACGAGGCGTGGGGCGACAACATCGCTTGCAGAATTATTCATCTTATCTTGACGAAGGTCAGGCCCGAGGTTCACTGTCCACATGTCGGACCTCATGGAGGTGAGTTGTCAATCTTTATAATTTACTAGTAGATGCTGATCGTGGACAGGATCACCTCCCGATAACTACAAGTGCGTCGATATTGACTATTCGCTGGAGTACTTCAACGATGCGGAACTCTTTGGATCTCCAGAAGGTGACGTGTTCACCTGCGGCGGCCCATTGTTAGGAGCCATGAAGATGCTGTAGCTGTAAGGATCTTTTCGCGAAACCAACCGTCGGTAGGCGTTGCATCCAGTATCGTACCAACTCTAGTCTTACCAGCTGGCTGTTAACAACCTGATCTTTCCCAAGACATCCACAGCTCGACACAACCACGAGCTGCACGGCCAGCGGCAAACTCGTTCCATCCTCTCTGGGAAGATGAGAATCACAAACGTGGGAACGGAAAATGGCAAACTCCGAACGCCTCCTGTTTTGGGGGAAAGTAGCAATTAGCATCATCTTTTTATGACTGGGAAACGTAATGCCCACCTCTCTGTCCATTGGTCCTTTCAATTGCCTTATCCATGATCGACATCTGTCGAAGCTCTGGTCACCGGCCTGCTTCTTCCTTTATCTTCTCTTCCTTCCCTGTCCTTTCGCCTGGATCGTGGGGATGTGTATCAGTCGATCAGCGTGAATGGCGTTCATACCAGCGCTTCTCACCATGATCTCACCTGGTGGACTTCTCGGTTGTGGTGACTTTGGCTTCTCGGGCTCGGGCTCGGGATCAGGATCAGGCGTGGAAGTGGGCTCGGAGGCACTTTGTCCTGCTTTACCGCGAGAGGATGCGCGATAGGGCATTTGTTGCGCTGGCGGAGGCGGGCCATGTTCCAACGGGTGTTCTTCAGCGGTGACCGGTGATGTGATCGGTTCTCTCTCCTCCATGATCGACGAGGTCTGATATTAGGGCGCACTTCACGAGGTCTACGCTGTATCCTCGCGGTTAGATCCGATGTAGAGAATAGTGTGATTCGATTCCAAGAAGTCTGAGAACGCTAGACCTGCTTTGATAGGCCAGGGGGGACGATCGTTACAAGACCATGGAGCCACACGAAATTCCCTCAGAGCTTTATACTCTCGTTCCATGAAGTAGAAGCATTCGGCGCAGGCGCAGCTCGGGTCTTGTGTGCATTTAAGAGTGGCTAATGATCACATTTTAGGTCGCCTGGCTGTCCGTCCCCTGGGCAGGGCCATTATAGCCTTATGCAAGGTGATTCATCAGCTGGAGCAGAGCGAGGGCAAAGGGGAATGAGAAATGTTCCATTACATGGGTACAAGAGGGCTCTTTATCATCTCAGAGGCTCTTGTGGGAAATCTTACGGCTGTAAAGCAGATCATACGGGACCCAGCTCCAGGCTACATCCCGGGCGACAACCTTTGAGAGGTCCAAAGCAGATTACGAACGCGCGTGATCCTCACTGCGAAGGGCGTGTTTGCCTCTCAGACTGGCTGAGAACGATGAGAAAAGGAGAAGGGCCCCCTGTGGCACGGCACAGTGTTTAGTAGAGAGTGGCAGTGAGCGGATCAGGTGAAAAGCATAAGCTTCGCAAAGATCACAGCTGACGGTCAATAAAAGCGCAAGAGTGCTACGAGCCATTGAGATCCTGCGAACGAGTCGCACATTTCAACGGTTATGCGACACTGTAAAGGCGAGGATGACCACTGTCATCGTATGTTCAGCAAGTCAGCCAGGTCGGATGTTATCTTGCCATGTTACAAACAGTATTTGGGATCTCTCGGACCAGTTTCAGTGCGACCAGATTATCTTCAACGACCAAATCGTTGCCAAAATCAGCTGCTTGCCAGGTCTACCGTCATTCTGATGCGATCTGGCATAGCAGCGTCTCAAGATTCAAGAACATTTGTATGAATCAACCAATCGAGTTGATTTGCGGCGACTTTGACGTCGGTACCGGTCAATGCAAAGTTCTGGACCTCATTGGTGTAGAGACAGCCATGGCGCTGTGCCAACATGTCGCCGCTCAGGGACCAGGCTCAACTCGCGGTCGATCGATGCCGAGTGTGAATAGTATACAGAGGTGACCGACACAACCGAGGTCACAGTTCACGACATGGCGATTATGGCCGGACGCGCGATCTTTGCATTGAGATAGTCCGACCTGGAGTCGGGCCTGAGGTTGACTACCAGTGATCAGAAGACCTGTTTGTACAGCCACTTCCACGAGGCGGAAGATAGGGAAAGGGGGCGCTGTTCCACGTCAAGGGGGTTTTGAGGCCTATCAGCACGGGGTCACTCTTCACACTCACTTACCGGTGTTTTGCCCTCGATAAGGCTGCGAAGGCACCCAAGCTTGCTTTCCCCCATCCGGGGGAAGGCCCCCCCCCCCCCCCCCCCCCCCCCTAATAGCAATCAAAGAATTCCCCGTGACGTTGTGCTGATGAGAAATTGATGCTATACGACTGTGTAATGAGTGCGCTGACTGGAAGTGATGCCGATGATGAGGAAGAGGTTTGGAATCGCTATAAGTGAAGTAGTGAAGGATCCCTGACCAATGAGCTTCGGCGGGCGCTAGCGGCTGTCTGCAACCAGCAACCAGCAACCGTATTGAGGAGTGTGCGAGGTATGGACGTGGTGCCAGCCAGAACGCAAACTGAGAAATCGAAGCGCGCAAATGGCTCGAATAGGGTTGCCTCATAGTACTAGTTCTATGCAACTGTAGTCAAATCACCTCCACCAGCATTAGCATAGCAAACAGCTAGATCGCATACAAGAGGGCCCAGCCCACCGACAATCACAATGCAGACTTCAATTGTTCTTTGCGCCACTGCTGAATTCAAATCGCCTCTCCAAATCCTTAACGAAGATTTATGCAATGGATCTAAGAGTTGGCCTTCAAAGTCCTTGATATTGTTCTAGAACCACCAAGCAAGTTTCATGATGTCGCACCAAGTACGATTGATGCTAAGTGCTCCGTGGTGGTCGATGTCAGAAGTGCCGGTGTTGGCCCTATTCCAGGTTAAGAGGGACCGGCGGCTCCATGGAGCAATCGTCAGTCTGAGGCGATCCTACCTTCGGGAGAATTCGCCAGATGGTGACATCGAGTATTGTCTTCGAATACTTTGTGAGACCGTGGCGACCACTCGTGACTTGACAGCTCACTGCGGCGTGCTATACCGAAAGTAAAGTCGAAACTGTCTCCATCCCGAGGTTGCGGCTTCACAACCCTCTGCTTCCAATCTGTCTCCATTCGACTGGGTGGCGGCGGGTCGCGAGGTTGAGGGTTCTTGGGTGTAATGGATACCCTCATTTTGTTGGCTGGCCGGCTTGATAGTGGAGGAACCAGAGCGTCGAGGTGGTGCTGCTGGGTAGTACTCGATACGTTGCTAAGCTTGTTGGGGAGGCACTGCGGTGTACGTTGTCTGTTTATGGTGATATTTCGATGAGAGAAACAATGTCAGTAGTGAGGTATCGAAAAGCGATTTCATGGCAGGTGAAACTCTTGTCCATTTTTATGACCGTCACGTATGCCTGTGCTCATTATGGTTTTTTCGTCGAAGACCGGCCTCAGGTGGCTCAGCTGTCCACTGAACAGTGACTAACCTCCCGAGCGCACTGTTCGAAGCATCTCTTCTTGAAGTTTCACAGGAATAGAATGTCACAAAAAGGATTGATTAGTTGCGCCAGAATAGATCAGTTTATTCTGCCATAGCCAGCGTCACATCGCCCTCCAGTGTGACAGAGATATGCCGAAATCAGAGGCGCCCGGCGAGTCGTTCTCAATCGAGGAAGATGGAAGGATTTGGGTAAGAGGTCGGCAGGCGAGGAAGCTCCGCCTCATCGAGGCCGAATACCTGGCTTCAGACCTTTGATCATGCCTGAAAGTGACACGATCTCGGAAGAGGATCTATGTGCGATACTGTAACGTTGTGGCCGTGCAAGAGTGGTGCTGCCTTAGCAACGCAGCGGCTGGTTCAGATCTTACTGCAATGCCGTATGAGACCGTTACGACACGGCGGGAGGTACAAGGAAGAGGTTGAGTTGCATGCAATTGCGCGGACCTGCAGACACCCATCGCATCCTACGAGCCTCAAGTACTCCTACATCTCTTTCGCGCACGCGACTGCGCTTGTCTCGGCTAGCACGGCGATGTCATAGGCGCGTGTGAAAGGGCGGCGTGGGGCGGAGGGGGCGGCGTCGGACGAAAGTGCTGCGCAGTCTAGGTGGAGGAGGTCGCCAGTCGGTGAGCAGTTGGCAAAGGCATCAATGCTATCATCGTGTGACACCAGATCGTCTTGCTCGGTCCTCTCGTAGGCCACTGCTGGGGCGCGACTATTCGTAAATCAGCTCCGGCTATTCATAAATCAACGGACCTAGGGCCGCTCCGGTCTCGGTGAGACTATATTGTTAGTAATCTATATAGAACAACATCGCATGAAGACCTGTAATGCCTATGCTAGCTGTTTAGTAGAATAATGACGTAGGAAAGAAGAATTAAGTAAATTAAGTAAATAATAGACGTAGAATTCGACACTATAGCTAATCCTAACTGTTCTAGGCATACTGCCTGCCTAGCAAATGAGGTTCTACGACCCTCGCATTAACGTATAGTTCCTACTATACAATCTTAGTATAATCTAGCATACCTACTAGCGCTATAGGTACTAGTAGAGCCCTCGGAGCGGGCGGAGGTCCTTCCTAAGTAGGTAAATAAGTAGATATAGGGTTTCTATCGCACTGCCTGTGCCTATAATAGCGTCTCGATCTATAGTTCAAGGCCTCCGAGGTTACCTAGCTTCGGCTCTTATACCGGCCGCGGCCTCTTACTACGTATCTCTTAAAACTAGCGCTTTCTTAGATTATATAGCTTAGGAGATAGAGCGGCGGCGGCGGCGGCGGCGGCGGCGGCGGCGGCCTCGGTTTATAGCTACGTAGAAGGGCTTAACAATATAGCTAATATAGGGTATAGAAGGGCGGCGATAGAATAGCGACAATAGCGACAGTAAGATATATATAATAGCGACGGTAAGGTAGAAAACAGCTATCTAGCGGTAGAGGATATAACTAACAAATTTGCCTTAGGCCTCCTCCGCGATCGGACGACTAATTTATAAATAGCCGGAGCTAATTTACGAATAGTCGCGCCCCTACTACTGCCTTAGCCGTCCTTAGCCGTCGCCGAAAAGAGCATAAGAGACTTCACTACTATCGTAGCGTGCAAGGCCAGAATCTGGGCTGAGCCTAC